AGAGGTTAGCTTTATTCCAGTTTTTGCACCTCACCACTATCAGAGGAGTGTGTTTAGTGTTTGGTTACTTTACTCTGACCATGATGTGTTCACACACAGGGAAAAAAAGAGGTAAACTCATTGCTTCATGGCTGGTCTTAAAAGAGGAGGTCAAAGGACAAGTACTTGTTCCCCTTGTTAAGTCCTGATCTAGTCCTGATGAAGCACCTTGTGATTTTTATCTTGAGAGGCGCTATATAAAAGATCGTTCTGTTTCTTCTAAACCTGTCTGGCAACATTTAGTTGGCTAAAAGATCTCAAAAACAACACATCATGTCCCGTTCCAAAGAAATCCAAGACCAAAAGGAACCCTGCAGACCTCACCTGGTTGAAGGAAAAAGACATTTGAGCCAGACCTACGTGCACCATAACTCAACAAGAGCATGTGTTTTCTTTATTCCATCTTACTGTGTCAAGTTCTTTCTACATTTTAATTTAAAGCAAAGATCCTTTCAGGGTTTGTCTGAAATCCCACCAGGCACACACAGACTCGTGCTGCTTTAGTCCTTCTGTGGGATTCAGTCACAAAAATTAGTTTTAGCAATGCGAATCAAAACCTGATCACACGCTCTTTTAATGATGCTGGTGATGACGAACCATGTTTTAAGTTAGAATACAGTGGGGTGTTGGGCAGCCTTGTTAATCTTCATAATTTTCCTGCACAAATCATTGGTAGTTATGATAAAAATGTCAGTAAAGTAAATCATGTAGGAGACTCAGACAGAGATATTTAAGGAGTGAAACAAAGTTTATAGGATTTACTGAAAGTCTGCAATTGTTGCAACTGTTTTTAACAAAATTAGGCAGGTGCATAAATTTGAGCACCACAAAAATAAACTCAGTATCTACTAGATCATTCTTTTTGTAGAAAGAACAGCCTCTAAACACTTCCTACAGCTTCCAATGAGAGTCTGAATTCTGGTCGAGGGTATTTTGGACCACTCTTCTTTACAAAACATCTCTAGTTCATTCAAGTTTGATGCTTCTGAGCATGGACAGCTCTCTTTAACTCACACCACAGATTTTCAATAATGTTCAGGTCTGAGGACTGAGATGACCATTCCAAATCTTTGTACTGTCCAAAATTTTGCACCCCGCTGTAGTTCTATGGTCAACACAAAACATATTTATGATGTTCTTTGCATAAAATCCCTCTCACCTAATGCTATTTCAGCAGTTTTATTCATGACATTTTCAGTACCTTCCAGAATGAGCCGTTTCTAGGCTCTGTCACTTAAAGAAAATGGCCATGCCCACCCATCCCTGCTCATGCTGTTATAAGCTGCGAAGCTCCAATATCTAGGAGGGGTACAAAGAAGAGATGCTGCTCCTCCAGCAGCAGCTCTTTCTTGCATGTGAGAGGTTGTTCACTTTTGTGACATCACAAACAGGGACTTGATGAAATGCCTTATTTTAGGCACATACATTTCTAAAACAACAGGTTGAAAACAGATGGGTTGGTTTTTACATTTGACGTATTTATACAGTTATTAGCGACCCAGATGGCTGCACAAAAGGATGCAAAAGGTGAGTTTTTGCACAATAAGTCCCATTTAGGACTCACTCTGTCCCATAAAGGACTCACCAAAAGACCCCAACAGCAGCAGGAGGATGTTTCAGTCATCTGGCTGCTCTGTTTAACAGCACATTATCAGTACAAGGTTGTCATGGAGGCACAAAGGCGGTTTTCCTGCTCATTTCTTAGCAATAAATACTTCATGAGCACAAATGACAGCATGGACAAAAGACTCTGTGGTAATTTATCTTTTCTATAAGACCCTGATGCAAATGAGGAAAATGAAAGCAAGCAATCAATTCCCTAATTGGGTTTGTGCTGTTGCAACTTGTTAAGAGGCCTCTGCTGAGATTAAAAGGAAGGTCGTTTTCTCATTGAGGCAGTTACTGTATTCATTACACTAAGCAACAAAAGAATCCAGATGGATAGAGGACAGAAAGCACCAGAGGCCTCCTTTGAGAGTCCAGCATCACAATGTCCTGTAGATCTCATCTCAGGGGTTAACTCTCAGTAACCATTAGCCTAGTCCTTTGCCGTCATTATAAGACAGTTTATTTACATTTTAAGGTACAATAAGTAATTTTTTTCATCTGTTTAAATCATTTTCAGGAGCCATTAGGAGCTAAAAAGACACTTTACATGGTAAATAATGGTCTCTGCCAGTATGCTTCTTTTGGGCCAATGCATTTGCAGCTTGAGCTTCTCCGGAGCGCTGACATGAAGTCTAGCAAAGTCGTGTATCTCATGAGATGCAGTAACAATTTATGAAAACTCATGTTTACACCTCAGAACAGACCAGATAGAGATAGATGGTATTTATTGTATTGTGTTCATCATGGCGGAGCCTCCAAAGAAACAAAAAGAAACTTTATTTGGTGAAGCTAAAAAAAGGAAAAGAATGTCCGACCAAAAGAGGGGTGGTGAGCGAAGGGTTTTAAAAACAGTCATTTGAAATGAACACAAGGGGGTGGTAAAGCATGCCAAAACTGTTCGTGAATGGGTGAATGACTGGTTGTGTTGAAAAACAGCATAGGGGGTGCTTTCCAACACAAGAAGTTGCTGTATCAAATAAGATATATATATGGAAGCTCATTTCTGCCACTTGCGTTAAAAGTTATAATATTCATTTAGCTACTGGAAATGATGACTCAAAATAATGACATTTGATTTTGTAATCATGAGTTTACAACTCCTTGAGGTCCTGCCTCAAGTGGAGGAGTTTAAAGAGCAAGTCACCCCCAAATCAACTTTTTTTTCTGATAAACTATATAAATGTGTGTCTAATCATGCTGCAGACACATGTGGTCAATAGTTTTGCACTTTAGTGCATTTTAGTTAAAATTTTAATTAACTGTCAGTGTTGTGCCGTTGTCAGGTAAAAACTCTGCACTGCATTTGAATTTAAATCTGCCATCGCTATTGGCTAAGAGGTACATTATGATGTTAGATGGTACATTATGATGTCACAATGCCGTGTGTGTGTGTATTTGTGAGCGGCTCCGCCCTCTCAGTCTGCTAGGCAACAGCATTTGTTGCATTTTTCAAACAGGAAGTGGGAGTGAAGTAAGAATCTGGTAGGGTGTGACTTGCTCTTTATGTATCTCTGGGTCTTGTTCATGAATGAGGGAAAGATGGAGCAGGAGATGGATAAGTGGATTGGTGCTGCATCTGCAGTGATGCGGGTGATGTATCATTCCTTCACGATGCTCTCGATTTACCGGTGGATCTATGTTCCTACCCTTACCTACAGTTACAAGCTTTGGGTAGTGACCGAAAGAACTAGATCCCGGATACAAGCGGTCGAAATTTATTTTCTCTGCAGAGTGTGTGGGCTCTTTCTTAGCGAGAGTGAGAAGCTTGGTCATCTGGGAGGGGCTCAGAGTAGATCAGCTGCTCCTTCACATTGAGAGGAGCCAGCTGAGGTGGTTCAGGTATCTGGTCACGTCACCGCCATGATGAGGTTTTCCAGGCACGTCCAACCAGGAGACCTGAAGGAAGACGGAGTCTGTCAGCTGGCCAGGGAACACCTTAGGATTCCCCCAGAGGAGCTGGCCCAAGTGGCTGGGGAGAGGGAAGTCTGAGCCTCTCTGCTTAGGCTGCTGCCCCGCGACCTTATTCAAAAATATCACTGAAATGTGTAATAATGACTTTTAAACCTAAGACTTTGTATCACATTTTTCCATTTCAAACTCTTAAGTATGACTTTGATGATTTTAATTCAGTCAGACTTATAACATACCATGCGTTTTTTTCTTTATAGTAGCAGGAATGGGCTTCCAAACCAAACTCGGATTTTCCTGACCATGTTCGATTCTCACAGCTGATTTCTAGTTGTAAACGATTTTTTGCATCGCCTGAAAATTTGACTGTTAAAATGATACAACCCACAATCCTCGGCTGTGTGGGAGTGCTGTGATCACACTCGACTGATACCACGAGCAGGCAGCCCCACAACTGTCAACGGATAAAACTTTAGCTTGATCCGGTTCTCCTAGTCAACGTAAACGAGACTAAATATGGAACAGCCTGCTCTTCATGTCAGACGGTCTCATCCATAATGAGCTGACCGGCCAAAATGCATGGATCTCTTAAATAAATAATAGAAGGGAGGAAAGGGTTCAGAATTTGGTGTTACACCAAAATCCACACGTAGATGTTTCTGTTATCATTCCTCCAAAGAGGAAAAGCAAACAGCAGCGGCTCTGGTGGGACGTCTGAGCAGAGATCTGCAGAGTTGTTACTTTGGCTTTGAGCAGCAAAGTCTCGCGGTTTAGCCTCCAGCATGAGTCATCTGATCCCTCGTGTCACATCAATAGTTTATTTACCAACAGAGAGGAAGACAGAATTAGAATAAAAATAAGATTAGCTACCCCAAAACTAAAGTGGTGCATTCAATTACAGCCACTGAGACCTTCTCCTGGGGGGGGGGGGGGGTGAGGAAGATTCTGCTGCATAGTCGTTTATCAAAGAGCAGAAAGTGGGAGAGGAACCTGTCATGTGTGGCGGTTCTGTTCTGTTATTCCTCTTTCCTCTCGTAGGGAGGGAGACAGAAATCTCCTAAAAGCTCCACAAACCCAACCGGCCTTCAACAAGCAGCTCTTAATCTTCCTGGTGTTTGCTTTAGTTTGGAGGAGTCGGCTTTGTCCAGAGGGCCGGATGTGGAGTCCAGCCGGTTCGTGAACCCTGACCTCACATCAGCCTTTTGCTTTTCGTCAGATGGGTGACTAAAGCCATCAGTCTCACTGCAGACCTCCGCTGGGGAGCGGGATCTGGATGTCCAACGTTTCCCCTGCAGCAGTAGCTTTTTAGTATTTGCAGTTTACACCCCAAGCATTGCAAAAGAGCGGCCACAAAGTGGCCTTGGACTGCCTGAGTCAAATAAACAAGTGGTTGTCCAACCTTTAGAACACTGTTCCTCCAAATAAATGCGAAGAGTTCCTCTGAATAAATAAATATTTGTATCCTTTACTTCAGCTGTTAGTCAAAATAAAGTTAGATTTGGATCAAAGGCGACTTTTGCTAATGAACTCTTAATATTTAAACAAATTATTCAACATGTTGGTTTGTGAGTGATCAGCAGCTATCCAGCCCAACATCAAGTCTAAGCAGATGCTCCAACACTCTGGAAGCCTTAAAACAGGTCATAAAAGGATCCAACCAATCATCCATCTACAAATCCGGCATCCCTAAACATAAATAACAAAAAGGGCTCCTAAAATAAACACGGCACAAAAACATGCCTGCAGAACACCTTCTCATTAATCAGCCTTAAAAATTAAAGCATAGTGGTCTGAACCCCAACACCTAGGGATAGGTAATACACCGCCACCTAGTGGTGACTATAAATCAACAGGAAAAATCTGTTTGCTGATTTTAAAACAAAACAGACGCAGCGCCGACGGCTGCTCAAAGCTGGAGGCAAATGGATAATACAGTAATAATTAAAAGCACATTAACTAGACTGAACACGGCAGGATGATGAGTTCACACGCAGTCCAAGTCTCTACATCCTCAAAACCAAACTGCTGCACGTCATTTATGGTCCCCTGCGTGTGATCCAAATCCCAGCCCGCTGGTGAACTTGTCCTTGTCAATGTTCTTGTGCTCCGGGACGTGTCTGTAGGTGCAGTCCCCCCTCGTGCAGCCCGTCGTCCTCCAGAAAAAGCACTCCTTCTTTTGTGAGCTTCAACGGGAAGAATGAAAGAGTGAGACAGGACTTCTACCCCTCAGAGGAAGAGTTGAGTTTCCTTACCTGGAATGTTGACAGGAGTCTGAGCTGGATGAGCCAGCGGGGGCTTTAAAGGGATATCGTACGCTCAGCCGAGCCCCCTCTAACACCATGCCCTGAGAGAGAGGAAAATTGTAAACGGTGAATTTTTTTACTTTTCTGTCGTTTGTTCGATTGCTAAATTGTGTCCTGAGCTGGATCAGGCGGGTAGTTGCTCAGACCGTCCTCTGGTCAGCAACCTCACCAGCTCCACTGGTGGCCAGTGTCCTGAGTTGACCCAGGGACCTCCTACCAGCAGGGCATGCCTGTACCACCTCCCCCAGAAGAGGTCCAGGAGGCACCTGACCAAACACCTGAACCACGTCAGCTGACTCCTACTGGCTGAGCATATATCGTGCGTAGGAACTAATTTACGCATTGTGTGGTATCATCATTTTGTACCCGAGCGTGAAAATGTTCCTAAATATAAGAAAACTTCAGACCGCGTGTAGGACCAGCATTTAGTGGTAGAACGGGGGAACCCTCGTGTGCTGAGGACGTAGCGGGACCAAATATGGTTAATTGAGGGCGTTTCTGTATGTAAACGGACACGAGCACCTGGGTATGCACAGGTAGGACTTATCATGAGACGACTGCGGAGGAACGTGCGTACGAGAGACCACCGCCTGTTTCATGAATCAGGAATTTGACCGTTCATACCAACGTTCAACATTTTGTTCGTAGGAAGGAATTTAGGAATATTTCTACGAACGTTTGATGAATGAGGGCCCAGGAGCCTAAACCAGGTGGTCCTGCAGAGCACTCAACACAAAACATCAGTCCAAGTGCAGAGATACGTACATCGATGTACTGGATGGCTCTCTCACAGTCCTCCTTCGTGGTGTAGTTCACCAGCGCACACTGCTCCTCCAGCAGCATCTTGATGCTGTAGACAATCCCAGTTCTGAGGAGGAGAAAGGATCAGAACTCAGCAGCCAGGAGCCTATACCACAGGAGTCCACGTGAATGATTTCTATGTAAACTGTAAGGATGGCTAACAGGAGAACTACATTTGATCAGAATCTGGGTCATTGACAAGTCACTAGTTACTCTAACAGAGAATTTGTGTTGGTGCAGGAGATGAGCAACACGTACACAGGAAACACAAAACAAACATTTGATCACATGGGATGACAAGGATGAGTTGTGTGGCCATCTAAATCTTATGGAGTAGTAGACGGTACTAATGTCCTTGTTAGGGGTGAAGAGGACGCTTAGACACATGGAGCTGGCATCTTTGATGTGGCGAGGGTGATGGACTGGAAGTGCAGGTTGTTCGTAGTATCCGAGAAGGTGTAGGGATGGGGACCGAATTCGTTACTTTTTAAGGTACCGACCGAATTCCATAGTACCGACTGAGCACCGATTCACGTCATTTCAAACGGTGCCTCGTTTCGGTACCCGTCCTTCTTAACGAGAACTTGCCAAGACAGCTGCGCAAGAGTGTTATGTCGTCGCTCGCTGTGAGTCAGTTGTAAGCAGAGCAGCATGGTAGAGAGAACGTACGCTAACGCTTGGGTCCACTTCACTAAAAGTGATGGGTAACTGGGTGATGATGAAACCAGCGACAACGATCTAAGTGAGACATCCTCATCTTAATCTGCTCCGTTAGGTAAATAAAATGTTTAAGATAACGTTAGCTTGATATGTTAGCTTCCGTTTCGCTAATGGTGCGTTCGCTTTCTCTTCGGAACTCCGAATTTCCGACTAGAAGAACATGAACGCGCTCTAAAGTTTGGCTTCACTTTACTAAATGTGACGGGTGATTGGGTGAAGATGAAACCAGCGACAACGATCTAAGTGTGAGGCATCATCGTTTGAATCTGCTCCAGCAGCTAAATAAACTGTTTAAGATAACGTAGCTTGGTATGTTAGCTTCCATTGCCACCATTGTTATCAGCTAATGGTGCGTTCGTTTTCTCCTCGGAAATTCTAACTTCCCAGTAGAAAAAATCAAATGAAAAAAGACGGCAACAGGAATGAAGATACACAGTAAATTTAGTTCACAGTAAAGATGTTTGCTTCAGTTTAATTATCAGCTTATAAAACTACAAGGACGATGTTAAAATACAATCAGTTGAATGTTATTTATCGTGATATTTATCAAATATTGTTATATATTGAGAAAAATATATATTTAATTATAAAAGAGAATTAAAATAATAAACACTCAAAAGTATTGAAAATTGGTACCGTTAAGTACCAGTATCGATTCCTAGGTACCGGGAATTAGTACCGCATCGAATCGATTCAAATGTCAAAGGTACCCATCCCTAGAAGGTGGCTATGGTAATAGGAGAGGTTTCCTTTTTTAGGATAAAAACTAAGAATCTGGTCGGCGAGTGACAGCGGTGTCTCTAGCGTGCTAGCTTGTGTGGGATGTAAACGCCTAACAGAATGAATGAAGCCAACTTTAGGGGGGGAAGTACAATGATTTACAGTTGATAAAGATGTGTTCCAGGTGAGGAGAGCTATGCTAACAGATCACCAGATACTGTCCACGTAGAAGCAGGTTCCCTTTTGCCTAAGTGGAGAGATCCGCTCGGTAAAGAAGACCCGTTTAGCCACGCCTCTGTTTAAGGTCGGCAGGTGAAGAAACTACGGCCCGTTTATCATTGGTAGCTGGAGTTCATCACTTTTGTTGTTCAGTGAGTATTTCTGCAGAACAATTGTAAACCAACTAAAGAGTCGTGCAGTGAGACGTTCCAGAAAGTACACAACACGTTACCTGCTGAAGAGCTCGTGGAGTTTTGTGTAAGTCGTAGTAGAAGCCAACGTTCCCACCCTGACAGGAAAAAGTTCCCTAAAAAAAAAAAAAAGATCATCTCATCAAAACCAAACACTCATAGAACGCCAACAAGCCTGAGAACGACGCAACAATGAAATACAAATGAGGACTTTTCAGGTTCAAGTTGAGCGTTAATGTTTGAAAAATGAAGCGAAATGATTTTTTATTCTAACAAGAGTCAAGGTTCTAATGAAGAAGAACTTACGGTTTAAAAGAACCTCTGGAGTGTGGCGTGGGCGAGTGAGACTTAGATCTGATTTGGCCCAAAGAATCCAGTTCTTTGACCTGCTGCGTTCGAGATCGAACCGTGTGTTGAACAGTCCACTCTCCCTCCTCCTCTTCCTCATCGTTCGGATCTTTTTCCTGAACCACTGGCTGGTTGGTTTTGTCCCAAATGGCCCTGGCACCTGAAGCAGAGGCAGAAACGATGAAGTGACAAACAGACCGGGGGCACTGGACTCTTTGTTCAGCTGACCTTCTGGACCAGAGTGGCTGTCGCTGGCAAACAGAGCCTCCAGTGCATCCTCTAAAGTGGTATGAGCTTTCAGGGCCTCGGAGCTCTGCGCCCAGGAGAAACCCATTTCCTGAAACCAAAGAGAACAGGAAGCTTCCCTAAACAGAACCTTTACAGACGTTTATTATAGAAATGATGGACATTAGTGTCTCTCACCATGAGGTGCAAAGTCTGGGCTCGCTTCAGCTCCAGAGCAGCTTCAGAACTCGTGCTATCCAGCTTCAACACATTGGCATAGATCAGCGAGGCTTCGTAGTACCTCTGAAGGAAAAAAGTATTCAATTAGACACCAAGAAATAAACCTGCAAAGGGCGGGGAAAGAACACCAAAACATTAGATGTTAGCTTCAATAAATCCCACTTCAGTGAGACATTCCCCTACACCAAACATTAGGATGAAAAATAAAACAGGATTGCATCACCACAGGTTTAAAGGTGCAATGACGTCCTGTGGTCAAATGTGGGTACTGCAGCCCATTTTACTAGGCACAAATATTATAGCCTGGCAAGCCAGACTAAATAAATGTATTATTTAGTCTGGCAACGCTCCATTGACGGCTCTCGGTTGTGGGGCGGGTTCTACCGTTGTCTTTCAAATGATCTCCGCATTCCACTGGACAATGAATGTGACATACTCTTGTTTCACTCTGCTGCATCATCCCACCCACCAGGCATATAGAGTGCCCTGATTGGCCCACAAAGCGGATAAAGCTCTGTGATTTGTTCACTAAGCAGATAGAGCACTATGATTGGCCCACCATTATGGACCAATCACAGCTCTTTATGTGTTTGAAACCCCTCTAGGTAGCTGTGATTGGCTAGCCAGAGTCCTGGTAGGAGCTGCTGAGGTTCCAATGGAGCATGCCTAGACCATTCTTTGCAAAGCAAGAATTTGGTCTAGTTCACTAGGCTACAAATATTACTCTCTCACACCCCTTCCGTGAGTTTCACGACTGTTTCCAGTGATGAATCAGAACCAGAAAATTCTAGATGACGAGAGAAGACGAGTTAAGTTGATAAGTAGATAAATACTTTGTCATATCTGGTGTTAGCCCTCTTAGTTATAGTAGGGAGCACTTACTACACTTATTATGGTAGTGTGCCTCCTGTTTTAGAGGAAGTGTGGTTGTTTGCCATCTTGCTGTTGCAGTTCTGAACAACTCATTAAAGTAAGTAAAACACCACAACTGTTTCATTATTCACTTCACACACACACATTTCAATGTAAACAGCAGCTTGTGACCTTTATAAAGCCAGTTGCTTCAAATTCAGTGTTAGCATGGTTAGCTAGGTAAGTTAGAGTAAAACAAAAGAATGGTGTGTCTTCTTAGGGGTACAAGAAATAACTTCTGGGTCGCTCCTGTGTACTGGCTTTGGTTCTTTAAATAACTCTGGAGCTTTTGCTTCCCGGTGTTGAATTACTAATGCCAGCACGGCAGTGTTAGCTCTCACAAACTCACTGACTGTAAACAATAACTACGTCCCTCGTTTGTTTTTTTATTTTTGAAAGGAGAAAAACAAACAACCCTCTGGCCGGCTGAGAAGAACATCTCTATCAGTGTAACTTTCCTTCCAAAGTGACTGAGACATTAGTGTTTTGGAATTATTTCCCTGTACAGATCCCACATATTGACCCTTTAGTTATACCTTGAGGCCACAGAGAGCTTTGCCTTTCCGAAATAAACCTTTAATCCAGTTGGGCTCCATGGAAAGTGCAAGGTCAGCATCCCTGAGAGCATTTTCATGTTGCTGAAGTCTGTCATAGCAGAGAGAGCGGTTTCCAAACAGCCTGAAACACCACAAACACAATTTCCGTTCACTACTGTTACGGGTGTTTACACAGAAGTCCAAACGGGCCGATCCTCTTACTTAAACTCTGTTGGGTTGTATTTGATGGCGTCGGTAAAACACCTCACTGCCACCTCATACTGTCCAGAAGCAGCCAAACGATTCCCCATACCTGGAACAGATTTACAATCGTGTCATTATTTTTGTTTTATGTCGAAATGACAATCAGAACAGAAGAGACAGCACTCACCGGCCAGTTCTAAGCTTCTCTTTGCAAATTCTTCTGTGGCAGGATCCACACTTTTCTGTCAAAATGGACATTTAAATCATTCTAACAGCTTCTCGCTCATTTTAAGTCAAAACCAATAAAACATTCCATGAATTCAAAGCAACAGAGCGTCTGTGGGCCTAATCTGATGAAAGATCAATTCTAACAATCAGGCAGTAAAAGTTCCACATCTATTTACATCATATCTATAAAAACCCATCCCGGCATTTTCACCTTTTCATTGCTTTCATCTTTTGTTTTTTCTTGAACCTTGGGATTTTCAGCTACTTCTGGCTTGTCTTCTTCAAGCTGCTGAACTTTAACAGTTTTACTTTTGTTTTTCTGACTTCTAGACTTCTTCTTAGGTGTTTCCTTAGGGTCCAGTGAAGCAGAGGAAGGCGTCTCCTTAGGGTTCAGAGAAGCAGATGAATGAGAAGGATTTAAACCCAGACCCTGTAAAGGATCAGACCAAATCATCTTTTTTTACAATGTAAACGATTTGACTGCAATAACATCTGGATTATTTGCTAAATACATGAAACACATCACCAAACCTTTTGGGTCTCCTCAGCTTTCTTTGGCACATCTGCATCTTCTGTTACTCGAGTGATATTTGACTCATTGCACCCAGAAGTCTCAGCTACTCCTTTTAATTTGTCACATGCACTTGATTCTGAAGGATGATCATTTAAAGCGTTTTGTTCCTGATCTGCTGAGGAATTTAAGTCACTTCCTTCTTCTTTCTGTAAAGACTCAATAAAGATCTCGCATTAGCCCTTCTGCTAGGGCTAAACAGAAACACATGCATCACAGCAAACCACAAATATTTAACTCACGTGTAAATTGTCTTTGCTCTCTTTTTCAAGTCGTTTCTTTTCCTTTTTACGCTGCAGTTAAATGTTAAATTAGCATCAGTTAAAGAAAAGACAAACGCAGCATTAAGTTCATTGATGCAAACCTTTTTTTTACGCTTGTTCCTCTCGGTTTTGTTTTTCCGCCGTTCTTCTTCCATCAGCCCCTTTTCAATTTGATGCGCCTCCTACGGAAAGACATAATTTCAAATAAATCAGAGACAAAATCAACAAACCAGCTTTTATGCTTCACTCTGAGGAAACCCAAACCCCGTTTGTTACCTCGTCAGTGATTTGCCTTATCTGTGGGTGTGGTTGTAAGTGATTTTTAACAGGATAATGGAAGTAATCATCATCAGTGTAATCATCATCATCAAAATCATCATCGTCGTCTGAATAAAAGTCATCCTCCAAACATCCCAGCAAACTCAAACCTGACAGAAACAGAGAGAGGTTTGTTTGTGTGTTTGCTGCCGCAAGCAGAGCTCATGTCTGCAGCCAAAGGGTCATGTGAACACCTGAATCTGAGAAAGTCTCACCTAAAAAGGTAGGAGCAAGAGCATCCGTGAGAGAGTTCATAGAAGAGCGTCCACTCATTAAATCCACAAATGATTCCTTGAAAGAAGAAGAGATCAGCAACTTAAAAAGCATCTTTATAACCAAAGACGAGATGGACAACAGAAATCATTCAGGGAGAAGGTGTTACTGCTAACTCAAACACAACAGTTAAACGGTAAGATGACGTTTCATCAGAGTTTATGGGTAAAACAACAACCCTCTGGTGTTGGACTTTGGAGTCGTGCTGGTCAGCAGCTTGAGTGGGATGGCTGGAGTCCTTATGATGGTGCTGCAGAACTGATCATAGACCTAACAGGTGTTTGTGGTTGTCTTTTTTTTTTTTTTTTTTTGCTTTTCTGTCTCCTGATTGTTGGCCCTTTAATCTGGCTTACTTTATAAAAAACAGTGACTGGATGTATGCTGTCCTATTTCATGCCACTTGGTCTGATTTTGTGTTTACAAAAGTCTTGAAGGCTGGATTATAAAAGTACAACCCCACAACTGTTTTAAAGGAGACATATTATGCTAAACCTACCTTTTCCCTCCTTTTGTGCATGCAAGTCGCTCTCTACTGCCTCTAGAAACACTCCAAATTTGAAAAGTATCCATCCTTCCATTTTCTATTGGTGTTTGGTACCAGGAATTATGTGCCTAAAACAAACCGTTTCAAAACTTCTCTGTTTGTGATGTCACAAATGGGGAAAGTAGAATATAACCACATCTCGTGTGTAAAAGGGAGCTGCTGCCGGAGGAGCAGTGCCCCACTCAGATTTTAGAGCTTCTCAGATTATAGCAACCTGAGCGGGTGATTGGTGGGCATCCTGAAACGACTCATTTTGCAAGGTACTGAAACGGTCAAAAATAAAACTGCTGAGATGTTTATTTTTGAGAGGGATTTAGTGCAACAAACTTAATGAAGATGTTTGGTACGGACCATTAAACTATTGTAAAGGAAGATAACATGTCAGACTATGTCCTCTTTAGAAACACTCAAATGTTTTTGCGGAGGTTTAGCTTGTCTTATGACGCAGAGCCTAGCCAGGGTGTTAACAATCCTTTTCACAGATACACACACCTAACAGAAAACCTCTATCTGAAGCCTAAAACTCTAAATAAACTGAGATAATAATCCAGTTATACTCACGTGCGTGCGCATCAATCTGGAGTTTTCCCTCATTCTGGGCGCTGGAACCCCACCTGGGCAGGTATAGAAAGCGTGACGTCAGAGTTAAAATACAGATGATACAGTTAAATGTATACAGATGGTAATACACAGACACCGCTTTGGTCTTGAGATAAACACAGCGAGACCACTAGCAAGCAGGCTAGCTGAATGGTGACGCAAGTATTCTCGGTAAATGAAACTCAGAAGAAGGTGAGGACTTCTCCGGTCTCACCTTTAACAGCTACCTTCTTTCTAGACATAATGTCGGTTTGTGTCTTTGTTGTGGCGAGCAGAACACCTGTTGGTGTCACGATCGTATCGGAAAGTTCTCCACTGCCAAACTGACTTTTACTTTTCTAACTGAGGATTTGGATCGTGCAATCTGAAGCAAACTCCCATTTCCTGCTTCCAATTCTACTTCTGGTGGCATTTAATGGTGGTTGGTAAACACGTGAATGGAGCATTACCGCCACCAACAGGTAAGGAGTGGGACTCTACCTGTTTTTTTTCCCGTTGCAGCACCGCACTGACAACAGTCTTGGAGTGAAATTTTCTGTATTTTCATCCTAACTTTCATCCATATATATATATATATATATATATATATATATATATATATATATGTTAGGGTTAGGGTTAGACACATAATTCCTAACCCTACAGCAGTCCTCATTCTAAGCAAGCATAAAGCGACAGTGGAGAGGAAAACTCCCTTTTAACAGGAAGAAACCTCCAGAGAATCCTGGCTCAGTATAAGCAGCCATCCTCCACGACTCACTGGTGGTCGAGAAGACAGAGCAGGCGCGCACACACACACACACACACACACACACACACACACACACACACACACACACACACACACACACACACACACACACACACACACACACACACACACACACACACACACATGGATAGAAGTCCGCGTCAGCTCTTTTTTCTCCACATACGCAGGTTTTCACCTTTGCGGTGTCGTTTGTCGTGTTTGGCACTAGAGTCTGCATGTTTACAGGCACGGAGGAGACATTGTTTATTGCTGAGCAGATGTGAAGTTTAAGTAGATAATGCTAGTCAAGTGACCATATGATTTTAACTAACCATTTGTCACAAATACACAATGAGCACTCATAAAACATGGGGGAGACCGGGGGTGGTTGTAACAGTTTTAACATTTCTATCTGTAGCTTGGAACTCCTTCAAGCTTGAAAATTCAAAATGTGACACAAATTAGTTCCACGTGTCATTAATGGTGTAGCTGTTGTTTCTGCAGCACGAACAGAAATCATGTGGCTCTGTCTAAAACACAAGGAGTAAAATGTTGATGTGAATGAAACAAATTTCAATAAATATTTTTTGTAACATTTAATAATTTACCCCGCAACCCTACATGGACAAGTAGGTTCAGACAATGGATGGATGGATGGATGGATTTAATAATTTACAAATAATTTATTACATGTTCACCTCAGTAGACAGCGTGCATTCGGAACATGAAATATGTTAGCTTGACTTACTGAAGTCCAAATGGAGGGGCTCAAATGCAGTAAAGTCTTCAACAGCTGTGCTTAATAGCAAAAAATAATGATAACAATTTTGAGTACTTGTCCACTGTAGTGACCATTATGCATCAAAAGGTTAAAATTAGCTAAACATATTTTCTGTAAACTGTAAGTTATAAGTGCTGTTCACACGCCAGATCGCTAGATGGCGGTAAGCCCCTTTAGATACTTGCCAACAACAATTAACCCGTGAAGAAGAAGAAGCTCTACGAGAAATATCTAACTTCCTGTTTTTATATTTGCACTTCCTGGCAACGGTCCTTGGAAACAAAGTGAAGGATCATGAAAGAAATGCTCTTTGTGGCGGACTGTCTTTTATAACATCGAACACCAACGGGTGAATCTTGTAATTTCAACTCAAGCTATGATTGAAAAACAGTTAGCGTACCTTTTTATCTGAAGTTTATACATCCGCGGAGGCTCCGCTAACGGTTGATCAAGCTTTGGCTATCTTTGCTGCTAAAGACGCAGGAGCCTATATTCACTCCCTTTATCATAATGATACTTGGAATAATAAAAGCCATTCACTTAGTGATGGTGACGGAAGTGTAAATAAATGAAGAAAACTTAGTTTGTTAGCCAACCTGTTGCTTCCAGCTAGCATCACTCGTTACTTTTATAGTTAAGATTCACGTAGATTTAGAGTGATTAACTGAAGCTTTATCAACATACTGGTCACAAGTGCTCAAAATGCGGTCTCCTATATATAAAAAAGCTACAAAAGATATTTCATTGTAAACTATCCTGAGTAGATCGTTGTTGTTTATGGTTTCCCCCGTTTGTTTTTACTTTTGTGTGATTTATTGCGTCAAGGTTAGCCTGAAATAATTAGCTTAGAAATCTGCAGCAGAAAAGATTTTAATTACATATATAGGATGGCTTTCCAGGCTATGAAATCATAATAATTCAGTCTAGTTTCTGAAACGGAGCAATTGTTCTAATGTTTATACGAAGATTGTACAATTATCTATTTTTTTAATTATGTGATTATATAACAATGTAACTAAAAACATAATAAAGTAACAAAATTGTACCTTGACTCCTGTAGACCATCCACCAGAGGGCAGTAGACATATATAAAGCTGGATTTGGCAGAATTTTGATTAGGCCACAAATCCTAATCTGGCCTGAATTGGTTTGATGTGTAGATGCTGTAATAGTCTACAAAAGATTAACATATGTTTTAGACATTCTTTTGCAATTACTTCAGACTTCAGATTGTTCAACACTAAGCTGGTCTCTTTGGGTGAATACCAGAAAGAAAATGATTTTTTTAAAATGACAGCTTATTCTATTTATTTTTCACACAGTTGGAACAGCATGTTAAATAAATTGTGATTATAAGAATATAAAACATGGAACAAAATTACTGCTTGTATTTGTGTTGTTTGAGTCACTGGCAATTGCTTTAACCAGCAGTAACTGTTCTCAGCTTCACCTCAGTTCTTGTGGGTTAGAAGCTGAAACATCTGGGAGCCAGTAGCCAATAGATTAGACTCCACAGCAGAGTGAAATAGGAAGGGAATATATTAATATTCAGCTTTTTGTCTTTGCTTGTAGAAGATGGCAGCATCTCCTCATTTGCCAGCAGATGATGATGTGAGTCAGTCTTTTGGGGAAACAAGCAGATGCAGCGAGGTCTGGAAGCAGTCCGGGCCTAAAACTGATGATTGGGACCGTAAACAGGCACAGAAAGAAAGCCTGCAACTACGTAAGTATGGTGAAGTATAGTGAGTAGTATAACAAAATAACTGAAAATCAAACCATTAAACAGTATAATATACAGTTCCTGACAAAAGTCTTGTCGCTTGTGTACAAGTAGACCTAAAGTGCCGCTAAAAATAATTCTAATGCAGATTTGGTTTCAACAAATGGGTCATTTTAATCCAAACAGCTTTTGTAATAATGTTTCAATGCAAAAGTGTTCTAATATTTACAGCTTGGTAAAGCCCATTGAGTCGATTTTTGCCAAGACATAAGTGTTGTCGCCTTGTCATATGAGCTTCACCGGTGACTAATAATGGATCAATTAGGCGTCGGGAGTGTATAAAAAGAACCCCAGTACACTAGGCCTTCACATCAACTGCAACTAGACCTCTGCAAACATGCCTAAGATTCACCCTGGGACTAAAGTGTTGATTATCAAGAGACTGAAGACCAAATCCACCGCAGATGTGGCACACACCTTCAATGTGTCTCAGGCTCTCAGCGTCAAGTTCAGAGGATAAAGAAAAGATTTGAAGAGACTGGAGAAGTTTTTGACAAGCCCAGGTCAGGCAGACCCTGCAAGTCAACTGCTCGAGAGGACCGTTTGTTGGCTCGAAAATCAAAGACAGGCCTATTTTCAACTGCAGCAGAGCTCCAGGAGACCTGGTCACCTGAAATCCCTGTCAACCAGAAAAGTTTGTCGTATTCTGTCTCGAAATGGCCTCCATGGTCGAATCAGTGCCCATAAGCCAGCACTAAACAAAAGACAATTGAAAAACCATGTGGCATTTGCCAAGTCCCACAGCCTGCTAAAAGGATGGACGCTGGAAAAGTGGCAGAGGGTGGATCTTTCAGATGAATCTTCTGTTGAACGACACCACAGTTGCCGCAAATATTGCAGGAGGCCTACTGGAACCCACTTGGAGCCGAGATTTACCCAGAAAACAGTGAAGTTTGGTGGAGGCAAAATCATGGTCTGGTGTTACATCCAGTATGGGGGTATGCGAGGGATCTGCAGAGTGGAAGGCAACATCAATAGTCTCAAATACCAAGAAATCTTAGCTACTTCTTATATTCCCAACCATAAAAAAGGCCAAATTCTGCACCAGGATGCTGCTCCATCGCATACTTCCATCTCCACATCAAAGTTCCTTAAGGCGAAGGACATCAAGATGCTCCATGATTGGCCAGCCCAGTGACCAGCCTTGAACATCATTGAGCATATGTGGGGCAGGATGAAAGAGGAAGCATAGAAGACAAGACCAAAGAATACTGATGAACTCTGGGAGGCATCCAAGACTGTTTTCTTTGCTATTCCTGATGACTTCATCAATAAATTTATGAATCATTGCCAAACCGCATGGATGCTGTCCTTCAAGCTCATGGAAGTCATACAAGATATTAAATTTGGATCTCACAGCACCACTACTTAATTTGCTGATATATTTTGGATTTGCTGTAAAGTTGATCATTTTCTGAATAGGCGACAACACTTTTTGTTTTGCCAGATTTTGACCTTTCTGTCTTGATTAAATGATGCATCTCTTTTCAGTGAATATATTATTTTTCAATACATTTAAAATTATGTGGGAGGGCTTTAGCTTTTCATATAAGCTATTTCTAACACCAATTAATCATTTAAACATCAGGTTAATAGCAGGAGTTTCTACAACATACACAAGCGACAAAACTGTATATGAATCATTTGTACCCTTTAGAAGACAAAGAAGGTTTTTTGTATAGAAATCCAGGTCGCTTTAGAAGCACAACAAAAAAACTGATTAAAAAATTTAAAGTAAATTAGAAAAAAAAACATGAAAGCCCAAAATATAAAGAAAGTGTAGAACAGCAGGAGAAGAAGCTAATGGGCTTGAACAGATGAGTTTTAGTTAGTGGTGGTTGGAGGGACTGGTGGCACATGTGTACAGCAGCCTTGCTTCTGTCAGCATCCCAGGGCAGCTGTGGCTATATTGTAGCTCATCACCACCAGTGTGTGCATGGGTGAATGACTGATTGTGTTGTTAAGCACCTTGGCTGGTTCTTGAACTCTAGAAGGTGCCATATAAAATACAGGCCATTTTCAGCTGCTTTTTGAAGGAGACCACTGAGTCCACTGATCTCAGGCTCAGGGAGAGAGAGTTCCAGTCTGGGGGCCACAGCAGCAAATGATCTGTCACCTTTGGTCTTTAGCCTGGTGCTGCACAACCAGTAGGCTTTGATCACTGGACCTCAGGGACCTGCCGGGGGGTTGGGGGGTGGGGGGCTGAGAAGTTCACCGATGTATGATGGTGCTTGTCCATATAAGGCCCTATAGACCAGAACCAGGATCTTGAAATGACCTTGGAGATGGCCACTGAGAAGGCTTAGACGGATAAGAAGAGAACCACTCCAGAGCAGGAAGTGCTCGTTAAAATGAGAAGTTAGAGAATCAGGGTTGATATTGCAGAAAAGAAGGATTGAAAGCACCAGAAAATTTGCTAGCTGTGCTCTTGTTAAGAAAACGAGAACTAACCAAGCGGCGAGCAGGAGGTGGGGACACAGAAACCAACAAATTAAAGAAAATGCAATGGTGGTCTGAAATATAAACGTCTTCAGGACAAACACTGTCAGGATTTAATCCCAGGGTAAAATCAAGGTCTAGAGTGTGCCCCCTGCTGTGCGTGGGACCAGAAACATGCTGGGTAATGCTGAAAGAGTCCATGAGGCTGGAGAACCTCCCAGCAGAGTGGTCTGAGACATCAATCAAAACAGCAGGAAGGACATATTGTTTATGGAGCGGGAATTTAAATCTGCCATGCTGAGTGAGTCAGTAACTAGCTTTGAATTGGTATTTAGTCCATTTTATTCTATGTTCCGTTCACTCAGTTAACATTCAGCTTCTCGTGTGATCAGAATTCCAGGAGAGCCACCTGTCTCCATCCCTCTCCTTGCTTCCCGTAGCCTCTGGAGAGGAACTCAGCTTCACTGAACCCTCTTTTTTCCAGCAGAGTGATTCAGAATTTGCTCCTTTAAGGTAAGATAACATAGCTTCCTCTTAAACACAGGTCATTTCAGCATCATGCCACTAGAGTGGTAGTTTTGTAGCGTTAATGGGAGCATGACGATCTGCTGGTTTGCTTTAGGGCGTACCCTGACATTTCTGTGGCATCGGAGAGGCTCTGTGTTCCCCTGCAGGACCAGACTAATCACTGGTCTGAGCCTAGCTTATTATCCCAGCACCCTTTGGCCCAGGCAACCATTCTCTCTGAAGAAGGAACAAACACTTTATCTGAGCACATTTTATCACCAGGAATCAAAAACAAAGAAGAAAAAAAGGCTCGCCCTCATCAAAAAGCAGCTACTGCTACTGGACAAGGACTATGGAGAGAAGGTACAGGTCACCAAGAGGGGGAGTTAGAGACACTTACTGAAGTTACAGATAAAAACTTTAGAGATGTTTTTCAAGATGACATTTCTTTTTTGAATAACGATGTTCCTGCACAACATCTCCTGGACCTCCTACAGAAAGAAGTGGGCATGCAAAGCAGCAGCAGTAGTTCTATTTCATCTGCATCCCAGAGCTCTGAGAAGAGAACCGGGTCATTAATGGATGACTCTAAAAGAACTCAAACCAGTAAAGCTATTACCGACCAAAGCTTGGCTACAAGAGAGCATCCGCCTGGTGAAGCTAGTCTCCACCAGCAGCAGACAAGACCTTCAGAGGTCCGTAACATCACCATGGGTTCCCGCAGCACTCAACCTGATGACAGCAGCGAGTTGTTGCACACAGAGCTGCTGGCAGAAGCGCACAGACTCGGCGACTTAGAAGCTGAATCAAAAAACAAACAACAAAAGGCCGAGATGCAATCATGCCAGTTTTCTGCATCTTTACTTAAAGAAGAATCTGAAAGGAGGCCCAGGGGTAAAGCGGGTCTGGGTAGTGTGCAGAGAATGGCTCCATTTTTAGCAGCTACTGACTGGGTTCGCAGAGAACAAGAACTCTTGTTGTCGCAGAGCAAAACCGAGATTGATGGGTCCTACCTGGGTTTCCTTCCTCAGTCTCAGTCTACTCCAGGGGTCTTCATGGCTCAGATGAAGACTACGTTAGGACAACTTTCAGCTATAAAATCTGATAAAAACGCCACGTATCAGTCAGTCACTCCACAGCCAGCTGTCTCCAAAATGGACATTTGTTTCCCAGATCAACTCCGTCAATCCAAAGATGGTTCTGTACAGACCTCTGCAGAAGTCCAGTCCCTCCCTAGTCTCAACTTCAGGCAGAAGGTAGATGCTTGGAGGACTAAACCGACTCCAGTCTCAGGCTTCAGCAGCCCAGACCCAGGAGGATCTGGTCTCACTTTGAATCGAACCATCACCCCGCAGGCTGGTACTTCACTGAGGCTTTCTGCTACAGGTGCTGCCCAACTAAATGTCCCTCAGAATGGCTCCTTAGCCCTCTCTGGCTCCTCTTCTCCTAGAAGAGGGGAGGCAGTCCGTGGGGGTCCCGGTGACAAGATCAGCGGGGGGTCTGCAGCACCACCCATAGCCTCACCTTTAGGCAGGTCCCAGTCCCACTCCTCTCTCAGCACAGTCATCACGTCGGTCTGTAAACATCAGCATCCAGATGTGCCTCCGGAGGAGGAGCAGAGCCACAATCGGGACCACGCTCCACAGTCTCCTGGTACCTCAGTTCATCCATCATCCCTCACGGGCCTCGGCCGCTTCAGTGACGTGTCACCTGATCAAGTTCTGACCTGTTCAAGCTCCCAAGACAGTTGCGGTGGGACAAAAGTCGGAGCCTCTGTTGGAACATCCTCTGTTGTCAGTCTGGAGCTCGATAACTACGCCCCCTACTGGACTTCAAAATCCACCCCACCACCTCCTTCAAAGCCTCAAGAGCTCAACATCGATGAACGAATTCCGGTGATTAAAAAACACAAAAATCTTCTTTAACGTTTAAAATAATATTTTTTGTCAGAATGTATATTTTTAGAGCAACACTTATTTCCTGATGAGTTCTATATCTGTTTCCTGCAGTTGTACCTCTACATCCTCGGCGTAGACCAGTCTCCTTCTAACATCCTGACTCCATTTGCACCCAGAGACCCAACCAGAGAACCCGAGTTCTCTCCCACTGATCTCTGCACTATTAAAGGATCAACCGGAACCCCTTCAAAGGGCACTCAGGCCTCTGAGGGTATCAGTCTTCAAACTAACCTTCACCTGTAACTGAGCTAGAACGGTCAACAGCCTAAGGGAAAACTTGGTATCTGTACAGGAAGTCATTGGTAACACAGGTTGAGTTAAAATTCTGTTCTTCCTTTTCTCTCCACCATCAGACAAGTCTGCAGCTGTAGCCCAGAGCTCATCCCATCCACTCTCTTCTTGTGGGACTTTAGTTGGTAGATGGAGTTCAGATCCAAACTGACCTACAGCTAACCCTGATCCTGACTCTCTTTTGTTCCTCCCTTGTTTGGACCAGTGCTCTGTGTTACCAAAAGTAGTGAGACATCTGCCTTTGTATGCACTTGATCTTTAATATGAATTGGCTCGCTGTTTGCAGCTGGAACAGCTTCCACACAGTTGGAAAGTCTTTCCATGAGATTCAGGAGTGTGTGTGTGTGTGTGCGTGCGTGCGTGCGTGTGTGAGAGGCTAACTGGTGCTGGAGGAACAGGCCTGGCACCTCTGGTTGAGGTCAGGACTATCAGGTTCCTCCACCAGACCTGAACTTGAAGTGTCCCAGTACTTTGGCTGTATAGTGGCTGCTGACATTAGAAGAGCTGTAATTAGTGTACTCTTTAGTAGGAAGGCAGAAAAAACTAGTTATTTATAACAAATGTGGCAGAAATTGATGAAGCTCCTCCTGGAAGCAGCTTTACACTCAATTATTGTGTTTTTTAATATATATAGTAAATGTTGAGTTTTACAAAAGCACCTTCCAGAGTCCTAGAAACCCCCCAGGATGTTTCACAACACAGCAGTCATTCACACTCTGGTGGCGATGAGCTACATTGTAGCAGCAACTGCTCTGAGGTGCAGTGACAGCCACCACCAGCAGCTAAGGTGGGTGGGGCGTCTTGCCCAAGGGCACAACAACTGTAAGAGACTGAGCAGGGTATGAACTAGCAACCCTCCGGTTACGGGGCGGGTACCTAACTCATCTGTTCCTTCACACATAATATTTACTGACATTTCCTGAGAGGTGAATGAATGTTAAGACTCAAAGGTTTATGCTAAAATACTCTGTTGCGTTTCCAGGAAACAGTCCCCAGAAAGGAGAGTTCTCCAGGTCCAGCCTTCTGTCAGCAGACTCCAGCATCTCCGTTCCCTTTAGCCTGGACAGTCTAGGCCCAGCTGTCCCTGTCCCACAGCAAGTCGGAGTGAGGACGTCTCTTCCATCAGGTGTAGAAGCTGCCCAGAGTGAAGGCAGAGTGTCCCCCAGCTCCCAGCCTCCCACGCAGCAGGCTGTCAGCCAGCTCGCCAACATGGCTGACGTCTCATTGACCACAAAGGCTGGTGTAGCAGAAAAGAAGCCTGACTCTCCTTCTCAGAGCAGCCAAGGCATGACTCAAGATGCTGAGAAGTCCTTCGTTAGCTTAAAGGAGTCGGAGATTCGTCGACTCCTCAGTCAAACAGAGAACATCGTAATCACTGGGTCTGCTCCACACCGCCTTCGCTCTGATGAAGACATTTTCAGCTCTACCGCTGGAGACCTCATAACGCGCTCCTCATCAGACTCCATGCTTATCTCACAGAAAACAAAGCAAACCTCTTTGCAGCCTGATAATTCATCTTCTCAGAATCTCACCGTTTCATCTCCTGCCACTGTAACGCCCAACGTGGCACCTGACAGGGCGGTTAGCAGACCAGGGACGACCCTGAGTGTCTCCATATCCGCCCGGCGGACGGAGCCTGAGGGCTGCAGTGCAGCACCTGCTGATAAACTCCACCCACAGCAGCAAGTCACCATGCCTTCACCAGCTGCGAGCATGCAACAGCTTTACCCAGAGGTGGGGGAAACACCTACACCTGCACAAAACCACTCCTCCTCATCTGTCGCCCATGACAACAATCAGGAAGCGATGAGCGATGGGAGCAGTGAGAGCTCGCTGGCCGTTAGAGTAGCTAAATTACTGCAGACTGAATCTCCAGACTCCGTGATGTCCTCTACACCCAGCGCCGCTGACCAGGAGGAGAGGAGGCCCAAAAGTAAACCTGTTTTTATTTACCACAGCTTGTACAGACCGCTGTTGTTGAACAACTTGTTCAGTGAGAATCTGAGATGTACCAAATGTTTCAGAGCGGCTCCAGCTGTGTGAACCTCTGGAGTTGGACATAAAAGATCGACGCTGCATCGAAGACATCAAGAAAGAGCTGTTAAGGAATCCCACTGAGGTAAAACACAGCCTCCAAACATTGTTTTTGTTATTGTTTACATTTGTGATGTCACACGTGTCCTCCTTATGCTGATTTAGAATTTAAAGTATCTCTTTTGTCGTTCTGACACCAGCCTTCCCTCTCTGGACAGTGTAGGTCTGGTGCTGAAGGTAACTGCAGAGTGTGACGGGTCTGGTGCGGGTGCAGCTGTCTAGATAAACGAGTTAAATGTTTGCAGTGTCTTTGTGTTCAATGAATGATCTTTGCAGGTCTTTTGACAACAATGTGTGTTATGTTTTCTAGAGCCAAGAGAGCACAGATACAGAGAGCAGTTCATCGAGCCACAGGGTCCATAAGGAGAACAACCATTCTGCAGAAATGTGTTCCTCTGATTCAGACAACCACCTGGAGCAGCCAGCAGCCCTCACACAGCCACAGAGCCCCGCCCACAGCCACTTGGAGGCCCGAGTGCGTGAGATTGCTGCCAGAGAAGGAGTAACCCTCCCGTCTGCATCCATCACAGTATCCACCCACAGGCACCCCCCCTCTCCTCCTCTCAGCCCAGCCACACCCCCGCTGGGCCTGATGGAGCTCCTCACAGAACCAGGCAGACCCACTGGAGCCAAACTGCTTGCAGCAGATCCGAACCAGCAGGAAGTGGGCTCAGCACAAACAGCAAGCAGAGAACCATCACCTGTGTTTGGAGAGCGTAGCAGTGTCCGTCAAGGAGACCACCGTGTGACTGCTCAGCCAGCTTCACGGAATCGGAAGAGGTGGGACACTATGGGAGGACAGCCTGAGACATCTCTTGAACCCTCACAGGATATGCAGCGTTTCAGCCACCTGAAGGCACTCTCTCACCTCACTGGCTCTGGTCATACAGGTCCATCCTCTGTTTCATCCACTGCAAGGACAGGCAATGTCTCACATGTCCATCTCAGTCCATCCCCTAAACCACCGGATCACCTCTCTGTATCTCCTGTCCTCTCTACTCACCCTGACACTGTCTCAGGATTGCCTCGCCAAGACTTCTCCTTCCCCAGAGAGTTTGCCTCTGCTGTTGGTTTGTCCCGTCTTCCAGAGCAGTCCAACAGCAGGCAACCTGTGGGACGGGACACCCCAGCCCTGTATGAACAGGTTTCTCAGGAAAAATCCACTCTGTCCTTTCCACCACAGCTCAGAGCTGAGGTGGTACCCAGAACCGTCTCTGCTGAAGCAGCAGGTGGGCTTTGCTCCCTCACACCCTATGGGGGTGGGGGTGGTGTGTGTGTGTGTTGGGGGGGGGGGGGGTAACCAGGAGATGAATTATTACAAACAGTTTCATCGTGTTCCTTCCACAGCTCCGGTCCTGTTGCCGTACAAACCTCGTGGTAGTGACGAGCTCTTCTACGTCCCCCAGACAGAAGCTGATGTCTCCTCAGCAGACACCACCATGGAGAGCACACACACAGGTGTGTTTGTCTCCGGCTCTGCTAAACCACACCTGGGTTATTAGAATGAATCCTGTTTGTGTTCATGTTAAATACCTTAAGGTCTTTGACAGGAAACAAGTTACATTTTTCCTTCGGTTTTATTTTTTCCTTTTGCTGCTTTAAAAAAAAAGACATTTAATATTCAGGATGCAGTTAGTCATAAATGTTCTTCTAAAGCAGAAAAGAGGGAATTTCAGGGAGAACGAATCTGCTCCTTCAGGCTGTGAGGAGGGTCTCGTCTGTCCCTCAGTGCAGCAGCAGCTGTCTGGTAACACACACCATGCAGCACATTAATTATTCATGTTCAGGGGCAGAGTTAAACAAAGGCAGAGCAGGGCTCCGTGTGTGTGTGTGGAGAGAGAGAGAGAATTCAAGATCTTCTATTCATTACAGGGTAAACATGTTTTATTGTGGGTTTGAGGGAACTAACTAACCAGTGTTCCCTTTGAGCCAGGCTCGGACGACGCCGTGCCTCCACACTTCAGCAGCCAAGTCCTGGGAAAGCAGGACCCGGGGTTGGACCGCGGAGTCTCATTCAGACACCCAGAGGGGATCTACAGCAAACGGCTCCAGATGGCAGGTTCAGAGCACACGGGTGAGCTGAACACACACACACCTTCAGCATGAAACAAAGGGCCTTGTGGGATCATGACAAACAGTTTGTTTAATCAAACTAAAATTCATTCAGAAAACACTAATGTTCTGTAAGTGGTTACTTTTAATATATTTTCAATAAAATATAAAGGTATTCAATTAAATGTAATATTCCATAAAATTATGGATTATCAATTTAATTGAACCTTTAATATTCAAATGATGATAAAACTGGGTAAGTTGGGTATCTCCAGGGAAACAACACTTTATAATAATTTGACACAGAGACAAAAATATAGTTTATAAAAATCAACATATTACTATATTTCTACTACTAATGATGATGCAAGACAAATGATTTTAAATGGTGGTTCAAAGTGATATCAACTGAGACAATGAATGAACTCTGATGAAACATGGCCTTGTATGTTTTAAGAGCTTAATTAAGTGACTCGCGTCCAAGTACTCCACAGCGTGGCTGGCAAGTAAGGGTATAAAAGAAGAAAAACTAATGACATGGCCTCCTTGTTCACCTGATCTGAACCCCATTGAGAACCTGTGGTCCATCATCAAATGTGAGATTTACAAGGAGGGAAAACAGTACACCTCTCTGAACAATGTCTGGGAGGCTGTGGTTGCTGCTGCACGCAATGTTGAAGGTGAACAGATCAAAACACTGACAGAATCCATGGATGGCAGGCTTTTGAGTGTCCTTGCAAAGAAAGGTGGCTATATTGGTCGCTGATTTGTTTTTGAATGTCAGAAATGTATATTTGGGAATGTGGAGATGTTATATTGGTTTCACTGGTAAAACTAAATAATTGAAATGGGTATATATTTGTTTTTTGTTAAGTTGCCTAATAATTATGCACAGTAATAGTCACCTGCACACACACAGATATCCCCCTAAAATAGCTAAAACTACAAACAAACTAAAAACTACTTCCAAAAACATTCAGCTTTGATATTAATGAGTTTTTTGGGTTCGTTGAGAACATGGTTGTTGTTCAATAATAAAATTATTCCTCAAATACAACTTGCCTAATAATTCTGCACTCCCTGTAGGTGATAAGAGACATTATAAAAAGAATCAAGTATCTGTCCAAGAGCTGGAGTATACAGTAGAAACAAGAGTGGACCCAAAACAGAGCCTTGGGGTACCCCACAGAACAGATCGGTAGAATCTGACATGATTTGGTTCATTCAGATACCGAAACTATAACCATATATAACCATAAATAAATCTGATCCACTGTCTAGACAGCTGTTCTGTGGTCAGACAAATCAAACATACATGCCCTCCATGAGATGGAGCTGAGTGTGGAGGAAACAGCTGGATCATTTATGGTTTGGTGTTTCGAAGCCAGTGATATTTGAATACTACCCATTATCCTACAACACTGCTGTCTGGGTACTGAAACATGCCCCTGTTGTCTGGTCCTTTCACCTTTAGGACAGGACAGCAGCTATAACCTCTCATCAGGGACAAACAGCAGCACAGGTCCAGGACCTGGCTTCTGAACTCCCAGAACAGCTGGTGAAACATTTCTCACGAAACATTTAGTATGTTCCATGAGATCATACCAGATCATAACATGGATCAGCTGATCACTGCTGGGTGGTTGAATAACGTTTGACACCAGTTGTTGTAAATGTGACTCAGGAATGGTAAAACCTTCTCTCTGTTTCGTGCAGCAGATGGCAGCCTTCCAGCTGTGAGTCGAGCTCCAACATCATCTTTTCAGGCATCTGCTACCAGGTCACCCTCAGCGATCCATCAAAAGGTCTCTCTCTCAAGGGACCAGGGTACCAGCCCAGTCCAGTTCCTCCCCTACAAGCAAACTGATCCTGGTGGAGTTCATCCAGCCTACAGGGAAACCATCCCAACCTTTGTCCCTCAGAAGAGACACCTGGAACCCCAGCAGAGCAGCAGAACCATGGACCAGATGTGGAAGTGGACCATGGAGTCGTCCCGCCCTACCAGAGACAGAGAGGCTTTGCTGCTGGAGCACCTGTCTCATCTCCTTCATCACATGGAGGCCGATGATCCTGGAGTACAGGAGAGAAGGGATCCAGATCCAGAGGAGCAGCTCAGTAGGACCCAGAGGAGGAGAGCCACAGTCAGAAGAGACGTTGGGCTGCAGGTGGAGGCGACTCTTCAACCTGAGCAGGAAGCTGGCCACGCCCCTTTCTCACACAGCTCCTCCCAGAGCCACCGTCTCTCACCAGTCGACAGGGAGGGGACCTCATCCACAGTATCCAGCTCCGTGTCCACCGTGGACACAACGCGACTGGTCCGGGCCTTCGGTGCTCACAGGGTGCAACAGCTGAAAAGCAGCTCTAGCCTCAGGAAGCTCTACTGCTCCATCAGCAGGCAGAGGAGAGGAAACCTCACCAACCCTCCTCATGACCTGACCCCATCAGAACCCACCCGCTCTGAGGGATCGGTACGTACACCTGCAGGTTTCTGTCCTCATCCCCACCCAGGACAAGTTTGTCCTGAAAATATGGATGAATGTGATCTCTTCAGGTTGCTCCTGATTCTGGATCATCATCCAGCTGGTTCCCGTCGCACCACGGTCCCTCCACGGCTCTGACAGCTAAACGGACGGTGAAACTGGCCAACAAAAGTGTCCAAGCAGGTGGGTGCTTCCTTACTCCTGTTTACACTGAACTCCATTTGTTTCTGAGCCCAACGTAAATGTCTGAAGATCTTATTGAGGATAGTTCAGTTTTCATGGTTTTGTTTCTTTTTTCAAATCTTGGAGTTTAACTTCATGATGGGAATGGATCATCATGCAGCTCTAGTGTTACACCAGGATGTGAAGAACGAGGAAAACGTGTGTCTGTGGAGGTCTGATGATTTCTAAATGAACTCCTCCTCCTTCAGGAGACCTGGAGATTGTGAAGAACGGGACTCGACGACACACCAGAGATGTTGGAACTACATTCCCATCTCCAGGTGAAACCAGAGCTTTGGGTCAGATCTCCTCCTCTCCATCTCTGGCAGTGAGAGGAAGAAGAAGGCAGAAAAGTCCTAAACCTCACAAGAAGATCAAACCTGTTCCTAAAGGTGTGCTTACTCTTCTGCTTTGGTTTCAGCAGTTTTGGGCATTTTTGTAGAGAAAAAACAAATCTTGGAGTTTTTATTTTTTCATCAGGGGTTTCGTGGTTCATCTCTGCTGAGAGTCTAAAATCAGAGACAAAGAAGGAGAACCGGCCTGAGGGGTCTACTGCTGGGAGGCTGAGCACTGCTTGGTTTGAGCCCTACCGCACACTCAGACTCTGGAAGGAGCCACTCAGACAGATCTATGAGGACAATCAGTCATGTTCTGGAGAACCTGATCCAGATCCTAAAACTAGGACAATGTCCTCCGGTCTGACCCGTGTCTCTCTGCAGGTGGTTTTAATCCTCAAAACGTATATAAAACAAAAGTAATTCTGTTTTATGTGGACAATGGGATTACGTTTTAGCTTTTTCTTAATCACAAAATCTGTCAGAAACGGAACCCAAGCAGGTCGGGGGCTAACGTGATGTTCGTCCATCCCGCAGGAGGCTCTAGAGATGCGTTGTCCAGGGTTTATCTCCCGGTCCAGACAGAGGCTGAGACGTCTAGCTCTGCGGGCGGAGGAGAGGAAGCTGCATGCCGTCCTCAGCAGAGACACAAACCTGGTGTTCAACCAGCGAGGAGGTCCAGTGAAGCTTCCCAAACCTGCAGGTACCAGAGACCCTCAGAACCACAGGCTCCTAAACCCTTTAGTTGCTGGGTTTGTGTCATAAACAGCTGCTAATGTCTGTTTTTCTCTGCAAAGGCACTGGTCTGCTGCTGAGGGCCGTTCCCAGGAGGGAGATGATCCAGAGGTCCAAACAGTAAGCAGCAACAGTCCCTTTTCATGTCACTGGAGAGAATAAAAACATGAATTTGAGCTTTGATTAGTAAAACAACTCTTTACCTCTGAGTTAGTGTCTTTATCAAGTTTTAGGTATTTAGGCTCAATATCTCTGTTACATATCTATCCATAACCTGCTGTCCCTCCTGAGGATAGCTCAGACCCACCCAGACCTTCAGCTCTCTGAAACATTTAAATATGGGTTCAACAGGTCATGCAGGCACACGTCTTTGTGTAACAGTGGAGACATTTTATTTGTGGAAGCTATGACCCACGGGAGGCATGAACAGTGAGAGTGAGACTGGTCTCAAGAGGAGTCCTTGAGGAGCTCCACAACTAAAAGAGGCTGAAAAGGACCAGAAGTTCCTCATTTAAACATAAAATCAGTCAGAGGAACGATTCTAACTCCTCTTCTTCATCCGCTTCCCTCTCATCTTCACTATTTATTCCTGCTACGGTTCAGACTGTTTGTTTTCAAACATTCATGTGTTTCCGCGGCTTCAGGATGTACGAGAATCTGCCCGAGGTTCAGCGGAGGCGAGAGGAGGAGAGAAGGAGAGCAGAGTATCAGGTCTACAGGCTGAACGCACGCCTCTACAACAAGGTACCAGCATGGGTTCGGTTGTTCTCCAGCTGCTCCAGAGGCCTTCCTAACACCTGGTTTGTCTTTGTGTCTCAGAGGATCACCAACCGGGTCCTGGGGCGGAGAGAAGCGTGGCACTGACATCAGAGGGATTTTTAATAAACATCAGGCACATTCTGACCAAAAATGGGTTTTTGTAACTCTGACATTTGGAAAATTGTTTAAAATGATACGATTTTAGCTATAGACATTTTTCATATTTTAAATGTTAAAATAAAACCATTTCTACATTTTTTCATGTTTGAAAGTTATAATTTATTGATTTATTTATTTTTTGCTGAATCTGTTGCTTTATTTGCAGACAGTGAAGAAAAACAGAGAACCTGGTTTTAATGGTTTATTCTCAGTTACTGGTTGTGCAACAGCAGGTAGTTCAACAAGATAGCACAATAAATACACAACATTTGTCAGCGTTCCCTCCTTTTATATAATAGTTAATGCACTATGCTCATAAATGAATAAATAAAGATTCAAGTTCATGACAGATTTGTGCAAATGTTAAAATAAAACAAACTAAAGGGCCGTGCGGTGAAGAGAAACAAAACGTCTTTGGCAAAAACATTTTAGTTGTGATGTTGAGCTGGATCCAGACGAAGGCAGGAGACAAATCTAAGGCTGGGACCGGGTCCATCAGAATCTGAGCAGAACTTCACTTAGACACGTAGTAAGGATCTGCAGCTTGTGATTAAACTAGTGGATCTGACAATTTTTACTAAACCGGACCAGGTCACATGACCTCTTAGGGTTCAAAGATCAAACATCTGAACAAAGGGAGTAAATCGAACATCATCTTCCTTTAAGCGAATCCAGTTAAAAAGAACCAGCAGTGGGGTCGGGGGGGTAATGTATGCAGCAGTCCGCTAGTATTCACGTCTATCTCTATCCACTCCAGTTTACAGCAGGTTTTTGTCTGAAGTACAGCTTTGATCAAGTCATGCCTTTAAGGTGGAATTTTACAGACTAATCAGGGCCACGCGGGAGAAACGCTCGTTTGAGTCAGAAAAGGGAATAAAAAACTAAATGAGCGTATTTAAGGTATATGTGTGTATTTGAGACTCTTATTGTGAAAGGCTAAAGGAAGTCCTGCAGTAAAGGCCCTACTCAGTAAAACAAGCAGAACCCTCAGTTACAATAAAAACAAATACAGTTCAGTTCTGGATTTTTAAAAACTGGCCTATTTTTGACTTTTTTTCTAATTTAGTTATTTATTTCTGAACATTTCCACATTAATCCCAACACTGGGAAAATGATCTAATTTAGAAGAAAGCATCTGAATGGTAAAGAAATGCCATTAAACCACTGCAGTTGTGAGATTTATGCAACGCTTCCATAGAAAAGCTGTTTCCTGATTTAGAAACAAAAACATTAGCTGATAAAATCCTAATTTATAGTGAATCTACCTGGATGTCGGTCAGGCCCAAACTTATCTCCACACTTACAGGAAGAAGCTTAAATCTGAGAAGGATCAGACATTATGGGAAGCTAGCGTGTAAAACCAGCATGAATCAGAGTCCAGTCCAGGTTAAATTACTGGTATGGAGTTTGTAATCCCAGGAGACATTAAGTACATCCTAGTGTGATTTATTTAGACCTGAAGGTGGAGGGTGGGGGTGTCTCTGCTGCTGTAGGGTGGACGGCAACTCAGCTGAAGTTTAGGTCTGCAGCAGACTGTGAATTCTCTGAAGCTGAGTCTGAGACAGAAGGAGACGGTGGACCTGCTCCTGGCCGCGGGGACACGGCAGCATGACCCGTCCCACCAGCACCGTGTCGACATGCTTCTCCTCGTTTGCCTGAACACACAAACACAAAGACGAATCCTTCATGCTGTTTGATTAGTCAAAAATAAAACTGTACTAGGATACAGTTTTCCTTTACTGGTCACTATTGGGTAGACCTGTTTCAGTGCTTGTTAACACAAATCAGCCAATCACACGGCAGCACTCACTCATCCAGACAAACTGCTGGAGTTCAAACTGGGTCAGAGCGGAGAAGAAAGGAAATTGAAGGGACTTTGAATGTGGGGTAGTCAGCTGATCTACTGGGATTTGAACACACAACCATCTCTGGGATTTATGATGAATGGTCTGAAACCTTTGGTCATGAGCTTTGGGTAGTGACTGAAGGAAGGAGATGGCGGATATAAGCGGCCGAAGTGAGTTTTCTCTGCAGGGTGGCTGAGCTTTCCCTTAGAGATAGGGTGAGATGCTCGGTCATCCGAGAGGGGCTCGGAGTAGACCCGCTGCTCCTCCACATCAAGAGGCTTCAGCTGCAACATTCAGATGGTCAGGTCAGAATATAGTGTCACCGACATGAAAGCATGAATCCATCCTTAAACATCTTTTGTACGTTCTCGCTGTGTTTGTCTTCAAATTCCATTTTTGGTTCTTTTTTAAACACAGATAAGGTTTTTTCTTTACCTTGCTGACGTTTCGTTTGCGGCTGCAGACTTCCTCAGGCTGAAGCTGATGGTGGCATCACTTCCTACTTCGTTTATCCGCGGGCAGCAGAGGATGTTGTCGCCCTCTGCTGCCCGCTCTCCCTTCTCCGATGAAGCAGTCCCATGCACGATCCAACGTGTAAACTCCATCGTCTCTGTTCATGGTCCCACATCCACGTCTCCTTATCTCGATTGCTTCTTTTATCCATCTTTTGTATTTCTGTTGTTCGGTGTTTATGATCCTTGTGTTGTCCCAGTCCATTATATGGTTTTCTCTTATGCAGTGATCTGTTACGGCTGACTTCTTTATTGTGCTTTCTGCTTCTTGTTTTGCTGCTCTTGTGTGTCTTCGATTTGTTTCTTTCTCGCACTCCTTTCTATGTTCTATTGTTCGTGTGTTGAGATGGCGTCCGGTTTCTCCTATGTATGTTTTATTGCAGAGTTTGCATGGGATTTCGTAAATGACTCCACATTTATGTCCAGCTGGTATTTAGTCTTTTGGGTGTACTAGTCTGTTTCTAACTGTTGTGTATGGTTTTGTTGGTGTGTTTATGTTGTGTTTTTTCATTGTTGCTCTTATTTTTTCTGTTATGCCTCTGATGTATGGTAGGGTTATCACTGGTTTTGGCTCTTGTCTTTCTGGGTTACTGGTTCTTTGCTTTGGTTGTTTTTTCTTTCTGTTTTTGTTTGTTGTTTTCCTTTGTTTATTGCCCATGTCGGGTATCCGCAGGTCTTTAAAGCGTGTTGTATGTGTTTGTCCTCTTGTTTACGGTCCCTTTCTTCTGTTATTATGTTTGCTCGGTGATATAATGTCCTGATTACTGACATTTTGAGTATGGTGGGATGTTCTGATGTCCATAATAAATATTGTCTGTGTGTGTTGGTTTCCTGTATGTGTTTATGTTTAGGGTCCCGTCGGTCTGCCTGGTGATTTTCATATCCATAAATGCTATACTGCCTTCTGTTTCTGTCTCATAAGTGAACTTCATGTTGCCCGTGTCAGCGTCAGCTCTGAGGATGCAAAGGTAAAGACAAACCTTATCTGTGTTTAAAAAAGAACCAAAAAAGGAATATGAATCCATCCTGCCTTGTGCCAACACTTCAGCCTGGTACTAGAGCTGTAATAGTGGTGGTTGAATGTTCTTGTCCCACTTTGGAACCCTCAGCACCACCTGATCCTGGCTTAAACACCACAGCCTATCTGTTGCTGACCATGTCCGTCCTTTTATGACCACGTGGACCAAACTTCTGATGGCTGCATGCTTCCAGCAGGATCATGCACAATGTCACAAAGGTCAGATCTTCTCTAACTGGTTTCTAGAACATGACCATGAGTTCACTGGACACCAGCCTCCATAGTCACCAGATCTAGTCCAGAACCTTTGGGATGGAACTAAGTGAAGCTGTCACATCAGTACGGCCCAGAAACTCTGACGAAGGTTTCAGAAAGCTTGTTGGCTCTGACATGAAGAACTAAGGACATTCTGGACTTAATAAAGTGGATTGAAATGATGACATTTTGGACCTCTGTGTGTGTGTGTGTGTGTGTGTGTGTGTATGTGTGTGTGTGTGTGTGTGTGTGTGTGTGTGTGTGGTGGGGAAGACAAGTTTAACGCTTGTCTTTTACAGTGACAAATCATTTCCACATTACAGATGTTCACTAGAGGAAGCCAGACCTTCAGCAGAACTCCCACCTTAACAAACGAGGCTGAAGGAAACGTTGCAAAGTCAGACGAGACTCGAGCTCCAGGCTGCAGGTTGACCACATGCTCTGCTACCTCGTCCTGATGGAAACAAAGTAAAACAGGCTGATAGATGAACCACCGAGGTGTTTAACAGCTGCGGTGTCTGAGAGTTTCTACCTTCAGCCTGTCCAGAGTCTCTCTCAGGGACTGAAGTCGAGCTGTTTGTTCCAGCAGCTGAGCCCCAGGAGTTACTGCAAGAGACATCAATGTTAGAAATAAAATAAAAATTTTAAAATCACAAGAATGTGATGCAAGAACAAGAGACTAGCTGGAAAACGCAGTTTCCCGTTGTTCCACCACTCACCTGGACATTTTCCCGTGACGTCCACCACCTTGGTGTTTGCGCTCATCTGCAACAGAGTTTCCAGGAGCTGGTCGGTCTTGCGGTAGAGGGCGCTGGAGAGCACTTCAGGTCGTTTATCCTTGGAGGGTAGTTTAGTCAAAGTGAGGGGTGGCAGAGCGGCCAGCTGAGCGCGCATCTTCTCAGCCTGTCAGGATGAACCGCATCAGAGCAGGTAGAACATGTTCTTCAGCCAGGTGGGAGTCACCTGCCCTCACCTTCAGTCGGTTGTTTTCATTCTTCAGGTGTTTGATGCAGAGTCTCTGAGCTTCAATCTGCTGAGTCAGCAGGGGAGAGTCGATCACCTGAACTCCTGATCCGGTACCGACTCCAGGTACCATGTTGGCTGCAGGTGAGACAGGTGGACCAGGTAAAACACCCGACACTAAATCGAACTGCTGCTGTTCACATCTGATTTACGGTTCTGTCAAAGTGAGCTGTTGACTTTTCTTATAGCAGCAGATTCACTAAATATTAAAATGTCATTTAAATCAGATTTAATATCTTAAATGATACAAAAACTAAACTGATTCATTCTCCGGGACGTCAACAGAGTTTCTGCAGGATCAAACTTCATTCATATCCAGAGTAGACCCTGATCCATGAGTGAAGCAGGAAAGTAGAAACATTTAAAAGCTGTGAGACTCCTGCAGACACCCTGGGTAAACATGCACATGACACGGCCTCATGCACAATCAGAACCATGCAGAACCACAACAGAACCAAACCAGATGGATACCTCTTTGTTCCTCTGAAGTTTGTAAATTTGAAGATGAGAAAATATGTAAATCACTTGTTACCAGAAGGTGTGTGTATTCTTGCGTGTGTGCGTGCGTGCATGTGCTCGTATGTGTGTGTGTGTGTGTTTATGTGAATGCAATGCTGTGTGCATGTGTGTGTGTGTAACATGTACCTCCTGCTATTCCCGTGACGATGGAAGCGATTCCCGATGATCCACTTCCTCTCACCCCGTCGATGGTCATCTTTGACTGGCTGTTGATTCTCTGTTTCAGTTCAGTCTTCTCTGACTCCAGTTGGTCGATATCCGCCTGCAGCGCGTCCATTGTCTCCTCAAAGTCCCTGCAGAGAGGAGGATATAGTCACACAGCTGTAGCTCTGTATCTCAACATTCCCACAGACTGAGCTCTTCCTCACTTCTCTTTCTTCTTCAGCAGAGTCTGAGCTTCGTCCAGACGAGTCTGAATCTTCTCAACGCGCTCGTCTGCATCTTTGGACGAGCTGTCCAGCTTCTTTTCCAGCAGACTGAGACGGACGTTCGCCTCACTCAGCTCCTCTCCCTAAAAAGTTAATAACAATCACACAAACAAGAGTCGTGCAGCTCAGAGGAACTTCTGAACTTCATTCAGACTCTGGAGGTTGGGAACTCAGTTCTTTATGGAAGCCAATTAGCATTTTGCTACCTTTATCTTCAGAGACTTCTTCAGCTCTTTGATGACTGTCTCTCTGTCCTCCAGCTTTAGGCCGAGACCTTCTGCATCCGTGATCTCTGCTCGAAGAGCCGCTGCCCGCACGTCCACTGGTGGGGGGTTCTGTGTGATGGGAAAACGTTACTCTGCGTTCATAAAACCCACGTGACAGGCCTTCACACCGAGTCACCTTGCTTTGGGGCCTCTCTGAATCATACTCTCCCTCCTGCATGGCAGTTGCCATCTTATTCATGGTTGCTATGACGATGCTACAGGACTGTCTCAGACACTCGTAGGGGTTGGCACCCTGAGATCCATAAATCTGTGAGAGAAACACACCTCATCATCAGAGAAACCCTGTGGTTATTCACACACACATGAAAAGAGAAGTGACCTATTTCTGTTTTGTTTTGATTTGTTTGGTTGCAGACAAACACAACCATCTGTGTGCCTACTTGTTCTCCAGCCTTGAAAGCTACGTCCTCCAGCTTGACTGCCGACAGTCCCTCCTGCTCGCCGAGTGGAGACATCATCTGAGCTCCGGCTGCAGCCACCTCCTGCAGCACTGCCACCACCCAGGTCAGGTGCTTCCTGCAGTCTGAGAGTGTGTCACACACCTGCAGGGGAATAAATAAACATACCTGGGTACAGAAATGTTCCAATCATTCATGTGAGATTGGGTTGCCATGGTTACCTGCTGTCCAAAGTTGAGTGCTGCTGGGATGCCCGGAGCATCGGTTCCAGGCATTCTGCGACGGATCTTCTTACAGAACTGTCGGATGTCGCTGCAGGATGTCTCCAGATCCTTCAGCAGCACGGCAAAGTCAGCCTTTTCCTGAGCTGCGTGTAGGAACGCCCGCAGGCGGCCCACCTCCACCGCCATGCAGTCCAAAGCACTCTGGGTAAACTGCACAGAAACACACCAGGAAATGAGGGGGCAGACAGGGAGGGGGAGTGGGGGGGTGTTCAGCCAAGTGTCAAGCTGCTGCTCACCCTGATGTGGTCGGCTAGCAGCATGGTGCAGTCCTCGCTCTGATCCACCAGGTGGATGCTGTACAGGTGCTGAGGAAATAGTTTTATAGTTACTATGGTAACAATTTTACTGCTGTTACTACATATAATCCCTAGTGTGTGTGTGTGTGTACCTGATAGTACTTGATGGCCTTGGTGAGCAGCTCCACATTGACCGTCTCATCCAGCTGGTCTTTGTGCAGCAGGTCGATGAGGAAGTCCAGAGATCGCTCATGAACGCTCATCTCAGGATACAGAGAACCTACCTTCTTGTAGACCTCCACGCTGCACTGACCCATCGCTCTGACACACACACACACACGCACACACACACACACGCACACGCACACGCACACACACACACACACGCACACACACACACACACACACACACACACACACACACACACACACACACACACACACACACACACAGTGTGTGCGTAAGGAAGCCTGATTTTGGACCGGTGGTGATAAACTGACTAAGCTGTTGTCATGGTGACAGCAGGAGGAAGTCTTTGTACTACTTGGAGTGGTGAAGCTTACTGCTCGTATTTGTGAAGCGTGGCCTGCAGCAGGCTGAGAGAGTAAACTAGACCAGCAGCGAAGCTCAGCTGCTCACCGACGGCTCCCTTCAGACCGGCTCGCTCCAAGCAGTTTCCATTCAGGTCAAACTTCTCCTGCGCCTGCTTGCTGATCAGCTCAGCCTGAAGACGAAGACACACACGTGGCTGAACCTCACACACAAAAAGGTTGTGTGGTTTTCAGAAGCCGGTGAGGGTTTCACCTTGCAGATGAGCCTGGGGACGAGCAGCAGCACCAGGATGCAGTCGTGGTCTCCCCCGTGACGGAGGAAGGACTCAGGCATGAAGGAGGTGAGGAGAGAGACGTGTCTGTTCGCCTGGACCACCTCCATCTTCCTCAGCTCCATCTCAATGGCCTAGAAACACAACAAATGGTGCTGATTTAGAGCCACAGGTACTTGTTATTCGTACGGAGCTGCTCAGGTACGGTCTGACCTTGGCATAAGCCTTCGTCTCTGCAAACTTAATCTTAAAATCAAACATCTCAGCTGGCGTCTGCTGCTGCTGCAGCTCTGCTGAGGCTTCCTGCTGGCTGGTCAGCTCTCTGTTCACCTCCTGCAGCAGAGGCAGAAACCAGAACCCGTCTCAGGCGTGGATCAACAAACGGGCCTAAATGTGCGTCAGTAATGAAAACCACCTGCAGGTGAGCTGTGACCTCACGGTACTTCTTAATGGTCTGTTGGTAATCTGCCACTGTCTCCTGAGCTGCTTCCACTCGTTTCTCAGCCTCTCGGACTCTCACCGCCCCCAGGTCCAGCATCTCTCTGAGCTCCAGCTCCGTCTCCCTGGCGTTCTCCTGCAGCTCGTCGTTCATCTCGTTTATAGCTTCCTGCACAACAAACAATGCTCAGTAAAGCAGTTGTAGAAAGTTCTAATCACGTTTCTGCTTAAGTTTATTTTCTATTTGATTTAGATTCTTAGAGAGTTAACACTTTCAGACCCACCAGGTCAGTGACGGTCTCCCTTAGCTCCCTGACTTTTTCTTCCAGGTCCAGGTTCCTCTCTGTCAGAGTCTCCACCATCTCCTCCGCCCCTAAAGCTGCATCCACCTACAAGAGAGCATCACCTTCAGACACCCACCCTCTGTTTCCTTCCTGTTAGCAGGTTCTTCTCTTCTGTCCAATAGAATGTGAAACTCAGACCTGCTCCTTCAGCTCGTCGATGGTCCTCTCTGCTGCTGACATCTCTTCCTGGAGTTTTTCTTTCTGGCTCCTCAGAGAATCCAGCTCCATGTTTTTCTTCTCCATCTGCTTCTGTAACTTCACGTGTTCTTGCTTCTCAGATGCAGACAGATCCCGCATCCTGACACAGAGCAGAAAGCGTCACGCATGCACAGGAACCAGCAGCACCTCAGAGAGGGTCTGCTGACCCACCTGACCAGAGCCTCCTTCAGCCTGCTGTTCTGCTCCTCCAGCTGCTTCAAGTGGTAACTGGAGGCAGCTCCATCTGAACCTGGCTCAAACACAAACCCACATCTGAGATCAGGATTTATTCAGTTAGAAAACTGTTCAGGTGTCTGAGCTTCTTGACAGAAGGCTGATGTGTTTGGTACCTTTCTCCTCTATCTCATGCTTGAGGATCTCCAGGTCCATGGTGAGCTCATCCACCCTCTCCTTTAGGGAGTCCACCTCCAGCTGCAGGGACTCGGCTCGCTCCTCAGCCATCTCCTTATCCAGGGTGGCCATCTCGATTGCGTCCGCCGTGTCGGACATCTCCTCCATGTAGCGCTCTTTGGCCTCCAGAGCTTCTTTGGCCTCCTGCACCAGCAGGTCATCATCAGAGAAACAGAAAATTAACATTTTGGTTTTAATCCCACTAAATGATCCTGTCAGTCATCCAGCAGCAGCTCCCTCCTCCTCCTCCTCTTACCCTCTTGGCCTCCTTGAGCTGCTTCTGAAGTTCAGCCTGCTGCTCCTGCATCTTGGTCTTCCACTCCTGCAGCTGCTCCAGCTGGATCTTGTGCTTCTCCAGCTCCTTCAGTTTGGCTTTGTCCTCCGTCCTCTTCATCTTCAGTGTCTCCAGCTTCTCCTCCAGGTCCTTCACCTGAGCTCGGAGCGCCTCCTCCTCCTGCACCGCAGGTGTGGAGACACAATAGCTGATTGGATGATGGGAACAGGGGAGGCATGCTGGTGTGAAGGAGGAATCACACTTTAGTCAGATTCAGGCGTTCATCTCTCTGAAGCTGTGCCGTGTCTCCTCTGGTGGAAGGTTTCACACAACTGTTCTAATTCAGTCCTGCTACAGAAGCCAAGGTCTCACACTCCAATTAGAAACATCACACGTCTGACAGCGCGTTAAAATGTTAGTGACAGAACAACAACAGCTCAGCCACGTGCACAAACAGCCCACCACACCTGTGTCTCCATGACAACGTCCTCCTGAGGGGTGAGACAAAAACCACACCAGTTACACACACTCACTAACACTAAAGCACGGCTTTCTATCTGTTGCCTTCAACTGTGGGATACGCCTTCAACTAGAAGGATTAAAGAATTATCACTTAAAAAATGGCTCGAGAGTTTTAAGTAATATTTAGAAATAACTTCTCACTAAAATGCAGATATAATATTTTTTATCGCAAAGAAAAAAACACTATTTTTGTATGACTGCACATTTTTTATCGTTGTCACCATTTAACCCTTTTTTAAAGACTTTCCCACAAAACAAAATTCTGAATCTAATGAACTTTTGTTTCTAAAAAAATACATTTTTAATTCACCATATTTTAGAACAGGTGCATCTTGTGGTCAAATGTGGGTACTGCAGCCCATTTTTCTAAACAAAAAGTCACTTTCTAACTCCTGTCTGTGGGTTTCATGGCTGTTGCCAGTTATGGATCAGCACCAGACGACTCTAGATGACAAAGACAAATCATACAAAGTAAGTCATTTCTGGTGTTGGCACTCTTGGATGTTTTATGGTAGGGAGCAGGTACTACACTTATTATGGTAATACTAGTATACCTCCTGCATTACAGGAAGTGTGGTAGTTTGCTGTCTTGTTGTTAGCTTGCTGTTTTTGTTCTGAACGACTCATTACAGGAAGTAAAATGCCACAATTGACTAATTCACTTCATACATACATTTGACTGAAATATCGAGTTGTCATTGAAAAAGTAACTTGACATGTTTTTAGAGCCGACTGTTTGCTTCTAATTCACTGTTAGCTCAACGTTAGCCTCTAGTTGGCTTCACCCGATTTTAGAGTAATACAAAAGGATGTTGTAGCTTCTTAGGGGTACAAGAAATAACTTCTAGGTCACTCCTGTTTACTGGCTTTGTTTCTTTAAACAAATCTGGAGCTTTTGCCTGCCGGTGTCCAATTAAAAATGCTGCTGTGCTAGCTTTCTGCAGATTTAGCAACCTCACAAACTCACAAAGTGTAAACAGTAACTACGTTCTTTTTTAACCCTCCCACTGTCCTAATGGGTGTGACCCTGCGAGCAAAGTTGACCATTGAGCAGGGATAATGGTTTATCCCTTGAGGTCCATGTGGCAGGGGTGAGAAGTGAGCACCACCTCACCCCTGCCACATGGACCTCAAGGGATAAACCATCAATCCTGCTCAATGGTCAACTTTCCTCGCGGGGTTCACCCATGAAGACAGTGGGGGTTTAAAAGAGGAAGACTGACAACCCCCAGCCAGCTGACAATGAAATCTGTTTCAGTTTAATCTTTCTTCCAACATGATTGAGACATTTAATTGTTTTGTGATTATTTCACTGTAGAATTCTACATATTGCACCTTCAATGTATATAATGGGATTGTTTCAAACGTTGGTTAAAAGCTTGATTAGCTCATATTCTAATTGGTATAAGTGCTTTACAGAAGCAGGCACTAATTGGTACATATGATACTTGTATTTTCTACAGGAATAAATAGAAATCATCATTTTGTTATCTGAACATAACGATGGATCAAATATGTAAGCGGATAGATTTACTGCAGTCTGGTGATGAATTTAAGGCCACTGGCTGGTTTGGGATGTAGCAGCTCTGTGAGATGATGTTAATATCATTTGACAGCTGAGGAGAAAAATAATATAGGAAATGTGTGGAGTGTGTGTTTATGAGTGTGTGTGATTTTCTTCCTTTTGAGTGATCTGGGGAGGCTAAAGGAAAGAGCCTAATAATCGGATCATAAATGAATATTGTCAGTGACATGGTCACATCTTGTAGTCCTGACCTTGCTGGGAACGGGAGCCGGAGAGCTTCCAGGGGAGTGGAGGGTTGGGATGACCGGAGCAGCCAGGGGGGTCTGGGCTGGAGTACTGGGCTCACTGCTGCTCATCTCTCCAGCAGAGGCCGAGCCGGACGCAGGTCCTTTTCCTCCTCCGCCCACAGGACGGCTGGGCGGCTGCAGGAATCAAAGCAAAACATGTAAAATAAACAGGACCTGACATATAACTGCCTCAAAATAAAACAAAAAAATAAGCCACCAAGGCAACCAAGATGGAGTAACTCTCAGAAAACGTGCTGCTTTTATTATTCTGCTTTGCTCACATTAAAAAGAGAAACCTGAGCCCTAAATTTCCGCCTCCAAAGTTTTGTCAGAGATGGACCGAAGCTTCTTTATAATTAATGTTCTCTGTTTCTAAAGTCTGTCTGAGAACAGCTGGAGAGAAGAGAAGACTTTTATTTGGACTCAAAAGAATAATTTATCTAATAATTAATAAACTCATCTTCAAGTTAACAGGAAACAAATGATCCAAACAGTCAGGATGTAAGAAAATATCGATACACTAAAAAACTGCAATATTTCTTGTTCAGATACTAAATGGAAATTTAAAAGCAGAGTATAGTTTTTTTTTTTTAGTTGACATTCAAACATTTACTGCATTTCTCTTGTGTGGTGCAACTCAAACTCCGACTGCTAGGTGGCAGCAGGTTTTACTGCCCTCATCGAGACGGAACAGATCTTGCGATAACACTAAATGTGTCTTGGAAACATCGTCTGGTATTGAGTGTCACAATAAATGTTATCGCCAGATTCTTGCTAATACACACTCTAAACAGGAAACAGAAATTCACACAAACTCACCGCAGCTAGCCGCTACATGCTAACTTACACCTTCAAAATGATCATGATGGCAAAAGTAAACAGATGGAAAGTTTTACGATCACTTCGTAAACAATAATGGTTTATTATCAGTAATTGAAAAGAGAAACAAACTCTTGTTAGGTGGATTAGAAACGATGGAGACAACAACACGCACACGACCCTGAGGATGTTCACACTGGGCTCACCTTGGGCCTTCTGGCCGTGGTCTGACGAGCGAAAGAAGCAGAAAATAAAGGAAGCAGGAAAAGGTCAAAGGGCAGGAGGAGAGGAGGGTTGGGGGGACAAACAGCCAGGGTTAGAGACACATTCAGAGTAAACTGGAAAACACAGTAAATAAAAAAAGTCTTTGTTTTGAACGTTCCCCATCTTGACCCAAAAGCTCAGGAACATGGAGACTGGTACTGACACAGGGACCTCAATGTCCACTCTGTGTCTCGCCCAACCCGTCTGAGCCCGGCTTCTTTTCCTCGTTTACGACCCAAACGGTGCTGAGACAAAGCCTGGAGTCCTGAGAGATGCCTTCACCCAAACTACCAAATACAGGTGTTCAGGACAGGGTAGAAAACCCTCAGTGTTTAAACTGAACTCTCATTAAGATGGAAAACTGCAGATATTCAAACTTCAACAACAGTCTCCTTTTTTATTTTAAAAGACTGCTTGATGTGGTGATAGAGGACAATTTAGCTGAGGTTGTAGAAAAGTCACAGGTTCAATCAGAGTGAATCTTTTTATAATGGAAACATTAATTCTTGAACTCTCCTAACCTAAAAAGGTTCTGACATTTGGAGATGGTCAGTAGGAAACACAAACCTTCCCACTGGGATTCATCACCTTATATCTCGTAAACGTTTCCTGTTCTTTTCACAGTTTAAAGTCAGATTTGGACAAAACAGCATAAAATCCCTTCGTCTCTGTGGAGTAAACAACACCACATATGGATGATCTTCAGATATTCTTAAGACATAAACATATTTTTATTGCATCTTCTCAAAAAAGGTTTTATTTGTAAACTGATATTTCTGCACATTTTCTCTGTAAGAGATGAAACTTCCTGTGTTAAACCAAGCCAAGCTCTTTCATTTTCTCATTTCCACTTTCCTTCCTGTGCATTCATACCACCAGGGTCCTAATGGTTGCATTAGATGCTCTTTACTGGATTAGAGTGGGACCATTCAGCAGAAATGGGCAGGAGCTAACAGCTAGACCCAATCAGAGATGTGCTGTTAAAACCTACAGCAAGCGGTGGTTTAAACCACTAAGCTACGTCTGCAAACACCAGTTCAGATGCTGTTTGGCTAGGTGGAAGACATGGTTACTGTAGCATCAGACCATCAGATAAGGGATAAAAGCTCAATTCTGTAAAATATGAACAGCCTAACTTTAAAGCTGCAGCATGAATCCGTCCTACCAACAGTGAGAGTAAAATAAACTAAAGAAAAGGGAAACGGCAGCAGTGAGAAAAGCTTTAGCTTTCAAATGTCACTGAAGCAACAAATAAAAGAGACGATCTGACCAAATTAAACCGGGAAAGTTGTGAGTGTGACCTTTTATAAAAGGATGATGACAACAACAACAGCAGCATCCCAAGAGTTAAAGAGCAGAGCAGGAAGTTGTGTACCTTCCGGGGTGCAGGAGTCTGTCTCATCATATTAGCAGGAGGAGAAAACACACACACACGAGACAGTCACCAGAAGACACACACACACACACACACACACAGAGAGGAAAAAGATGAAACAGGCAAAGATCCACAGAGATGAGGTTCAGGTCAGACGGACTGAAGCTGAACAGTCACAGGCTCAGAAGCTGCAGCGGTGCAAATGGCTGCGACGATGTATTCCCAAGCCCCCCCTCTCCTCCCTTGGTCCGTCTCCTCCTCCCACTGCCGACCTCCTTTATGTCCTCTTTCTCAGAGTGTCTCATAATACGTCTGTCGGAGCCCTCGGTTGCCGCTCCCGTTTAGCTTTCATCTCCGATTTGGACTCTGACATCCTGCTGCTGCCTCTCCTCCCTCTTACCCTGCCTCACCCACACCCTCACCTCCTCTCCTGACTGTGATTCGTCAGCCCGACTGTTGCTCTGCTCTTGCATTACATCACTGCACCCCCCCCCCCCCCCCCCCCCGACTCCATGCTGCTCACCACATCAACCACAGACGGGGGGGGGGGGGGGGGGGGGGGGGGGGGGGGGGGATGTGGGGAGAAACAGAGGCTGAGAGACAGAGGAGAGTGGTGCTGTAGATGTAGGTGTTGGGGAATGATGCAGCCTTCCAGTCTCTAAGCAACGTCTGGAGACCATTCAATGTGGGGGGTGGGGGTGGGGGTGGGGGGTGGGTGTGTGTGTGTGTGTGTGTGGGGGGGGGGGCACGACTGGATTGAGTACCATGAAACTCCGACCCCTTGCATCTGACCTGGGCATCTTGATACTTCCAGAATCCTAATTGTTAAATAATCAGAAAATTCTTTGAGCTGAATCAGTGTTGACTCAAACCTGAAAGGGTCACTTTCCCTTGGTCATATCCAGTTATAGACATCATGGCTTCAATATAACTCCAGTATTCAAAATAACAGCCATTTATTTAACTTTATTTTTATATTTCAGAACCCGAATCAAAAATAAAAGGCTCTGTGGTGTATGTAGGTTGGAAGGGGAGCACTAAAATGTTTTTATTACTTTAAGCTATTGCTTTCCAACGTGTTTCAGTGGTTCTTTAGCCATAACCTTGAGCAGCTTTACATTGGACAGCCCTCTGTCGCCCTTTGCCGACCAGAAACCACACAGGTAGGAACACTAGAGGGAGGTCTCTACCTGCTTTACAGCACTGTGCCAGTAGCTCATTTAAAGGCTAGCTGTTAGCTTTTTCAGTACTCTGACCGTCAATAAAAAGCTCAAGAAGAATATTTCTTTTTTTTTGGCATCATGGCAGAGGCTGGTAGTAAAAGTAAAAGAGATGAGTCTGAAGGCAAAGCAAAGAAATAAAACCAGAGTGAAGATCAGTGTGGCCTACGCTCATTGAAGGAGCTAAAGGAGGCTACAAAATCATAGACTGATGCTGACCTGGCCTTGTTGCTACTGGACTTGTAAGTAATAATATTATTTTCTGCAACAGTTTTTACTTTGTGGCCTATTTAGTATTAGATGGCTCATGTTAGCATTAGCTTGTTGTTAGTGTGAGCTACAGCAGAGCAGACTGTGGCTGTGGTATTTACAATAGTTATAATTTTGTTTTCAACCAGCTGGAGGGAGAAGCGGGAAACTTATTTAGTGTTGCTTAAAAGATACTTTGGTTTCATGCTGTTAAAAGAGCATAAAACAATCATCCAGTGTTTTAAAAACTACTCTTACTTTTGCACCAGAGATGTAACCCACCAGAGTGTAGTTTAAAGCAATCCGTCAGGTCAACTAAAATCTAAAACCAAAATCCATCGCAGATTCTCCCTCAGCTCCACTAATCTCCTTCTGTGTCCCAACAGCTCAGCAGGAAGAGTCAGAGATGTAAGAGGATTAATCTTCCCTAATTAGCCTTACTGTAACATATAAGTGATGATTGGACTGTGTGTGTGTGTGTGTGTGTGTGTGTGTGTGTGTGTATATATATATATATATGTATATATATATACACACACACATATATATATATATATATATATATATATATATATATATATATATATCAGTTTGGAACAAACAGGCGGTTTAAAAACTGGCTGTTGAATTTCAACATGACTGCAGGTTTTGTGTCAGAGTGAAAATGGGGTTATGTGTCTCCATTACAGAGCAGCTGAGTGAAATCTGTCTGGTTTAAATATTAAACCCATCCCTCTAGAAGACTTTCTTTCATCTGATTATGGGATGCTCCCAATGATGGGAGGAGAAAACACAGAGAGACAGAAAGAGATGGGATGGGTGGGGACGTGTCCCGTTGCTGCTTCCCCAGCACACATCACACACTTCACTGCCTCTGAAGGCTTTATTCTGCAGCCCCAACAGGACTAAAGGAGATAAAGTTACAGCAGACGAAGCGCTTGGGCCGGCGTGACTGCTACAGCATCTCTCTCTCTCATGTTCCTGTATGGTCAGAAACATGAGACTTCATATAAAGGTTAGTTCTGGGGAGCTGGAGAGGATCAAATAAACCAAGATGACCGTAAATCCATACTCAGCAGGTCTACGCAGACGGGGGGCTCCTTTCACCTCGGTTACATGCTGACATTTTCTCCACCGTGAGGCGAAGGAGCTCCTGCATGTATGAGTCAACAGAGGAGGTTTTAAAGAGCAGTCTGCTCATATACGCTTTATTGCCATTAGGATCTTCTCAGAACTATAATATTGTGAGCATGTACAATTACAGGAGCTACAACCCAAACTCAGACTAGATGATTTATTTTGTATTCATGCAGGTCTTGATTTGTAAAAGAGTCGTACAAATGATCAGGGCTTCACCCTGATAACAGAGAGAAAGAGAAGCTGAGGAGCGTCTTGTTTATTTCTGATAAATGCAGATGTTGACAACTACACACCACTTCCCCTTTAGGGGATGATTAAGCCTGAGTTTAGTCTAGATGTCTTTTCAACCCAAAAGCGCTCACAAGTTTATTAAAGACCCATCAGATCCGAGACAGAGATGGATGAAGAAAGACTCTTTTTGATACGACATGCAGAGAAAACCACCCGCAAACTTGGAATAAAAAGGAAAGGTAATCTTTATGAACTAAAATCCAACTAACACAATGTCTAGTGACGTGGAGGGTCTGAACCAGACAGAAATAAAGATAGACAAATCGTCTCTGTCTTCTTCTGTGTAGCCAAAATGTCCCGTTTATGTTGTGTCATATTGAACCAGAGTCTGAGCATTCAGATGTGCAACTGAAAGTCCCGCCTACTCACAACGCCAAATACCCAACTACTGATGGACGTGTTAGATCCATTAACATGTAGCGGGTACGGAAAGTATTCAGACCCATGTCAATTTTTTCATTCTGTTATATTGCAGCCATTTGCTAAAATCAATTAAATCCATTTTTTACTCATTAAGGTACACACGGCACCCCGTACTGACAGAAAAACACAGAATTTTAGACATTTCTGCAGATTTATTAAAACAGACAAACTAAAACATCACATGGTCCTAAGTATTCAGAGCCTTTGTTCAGTATTTAGTAGAAACACCCTTTTGAGCTGATACAGCCATGAGTCTTCTTGGTAAAGATGCAACAAGTTTCTTACGCCTGGATTTGGGGATCCTCCTCCATTCTTCCTTGCAGATCCTCTCCAGCTCAGTCAGGTTTGATGGTGAACGTTGGTGGACAGCCATCTTTAGGTCTCTCCAGAGATGCTCAACTGAGTTTAAGTCAGGGCTCTGGCTGGGCCACCCCTTTGTTATTTTAGCTGTGTGCTGAGGGTCATTGTCATGTTGGAAGGTAAACCTTCAGCCCAGTCTGAGGTCCTGAACATTCTGGAGAAGGTTCTTGTCCAGGATGTCCCTGTACTTGGCTGCATTCATCGTTCCCTTGAACGCAAGCAGTCGTCCTGGCCCTGCAGCTGAAAAACACCCCCACGCCATGATGCTGCCATCGCCATGCTTCACTGTGGGACTGTACTGGACAAGTGATGACTAGTGCCTGGTTTTCTCCACACATACCGCTTAGAATTGAGGCCAAAAAGTTCTATCTTGGTCTCATCAGACCAGAGAATCTTATTTCTTACCATCTTGGGGTCCTTCAGGTGTCTTTTAGAAAACTCCATGCAGGCTTTTGTGTGTCTAGCACTGAGGAGAGGCTTCCAATGGGCCATTCTGCCATAAAGCCCTGACTGGTGGAGCGCTGCAGTGATGGCTGATCTTCTACAACTTTCTCCATCTCCTGACTACATCTCTGGAGCATCTTCTTTACTTCTCTCACCAAGGCTCATTTCCCCTGGTAGCTTAGTTTAGCCTGCTCTGGGAAGGGTTCTGGTCATCCCAAACATCTTTTAAGGATCATGGAGGCCACTGTGGTCTACCTTAAGTGCAGCAGAGATGTTTTTGTAACCTTGGCCAGATCTGTGCCTTGCCACAATTCTGTCTCTGAGCTCCACGGGGAGTTCATTTGACCTCATGGTTCTCCTTTGCTCTGACGTGCATTGTGAGCTGTAAGGTCTTATATAGACAGGTGTGTGGCTTTCCTGATCAAGTCCAGTCAGTATAATCAAACACAGCTGGACTCCAATGAAGGTGTAGGACCATCTCAATGATGATCAGAAGAAATGGAAAGCACCCGAGTTAAATATATGTGTGTCACGGCAAAGGGTCTGAATCCTTAGGACCATGTGATATTTCAGGTTGTGTCTTTTTTTTTATTTAATCTGCAGAAATTTCTAAAATTCTGTGTTTTTCTGTCCGTATGGGGTGCTGTGTGTACATTAATGAGGAAAAAAATAATATAATTAATTTTAGCAAATGGCTGCAATATAACAAAGAGTGAAAATTGACAAGGGTCTACCTTCCGTACCCACTTTATATAGATTTATTTATATCAGATAAATTATTCTTATTATTAGGGGCAGCAGTAGCTCAGGTGGTAGAGCGGGTTGCTTCATTATCATGGGTTCGATTCCAGCTCCTGCCAGGGGTATTCAGCTGTTGTGTCCTTGGGCAAGACACTTCACCCAACTTGCCTGTGTTGGTGGTGGTCAGAGGGGCCGATGGCGCCAAATGGCAGCCTCGCCTCAGACCGCCTCAGGGTGGCTGTGGCTACAAAGTAGCTTACCATCACTGGAAGTGTGTGAATGTGAGAGTGCATGAAAGAATCTTTGAGTGTCCTTAACAAGCGCTATATAAATTCAATGTATTATTATTATTATTATTATTATTATTATTATTATTATTAAATAAAAACCACATAAATCAGCAGCAGTTAACACCTGGAAAATGTCCCCGTGGTATCCATGGGGAGGCGGGGCTGAAAACTTGTGCTGGTACCAACCACTAGGGGCGTTTGGTTATATTCCAGTGTTGTTTGGTTTGATGACATGATTTTTGCGAGACGAGCAGTTGTAGTCCTCTACATCTTTTCATACAAAACCTAAAGTAACTTTTGCAGCATGTCTAAAAAAAGATGCTTTCTTGGTATCAAAATGTGTCTTTAAAATACACAAAAAATATATGTTGGAGAACAAAAAGTCAACTATTGCTCCATAGACTTCTACTTGTTTTTGGCAGTAGGGGCCCTATGGACCAGAGGTAGAGGGGCATGACTCAGGCTCCCTACTGAACTAAGAAAATGATCCTTTTGTTGCCCAGAAACCAACTAATTTTACTGGATGTAATAACAGGAAGTGCTGGGCATGTTACTTAAAAAAACTAATTATTGTTACTCATTACTTCTTAAAAAGTAATATTCATTATAAAGCAACTGATTACCAGGAAAAGTAACTATTGCATTACTTTTATAATAAAAATATGTAATAAAATTTGGATTTTACAATATTTATTACAAATTACTACAATATACGGCTGGGCGATAAAATGAAAATGTATCGCTATCAACATTTCTGACCAATTGATATCCTTTTCCCCATAGTCAATAAATGTGATAATTAAAAAAACGAAAATATGTGTGTCGTGTCTCTTTAAACATAATAAACGTGACAGTCCCATCTACTGGACAACTTTTGTTTCTGCGCATACATAAAATTATTGCCCATTTATCATTATTGAGGTGAAATCCTCAATACACCGCGATGTCGCCCAGCCCTACTATACAATACTAAAATTTTAATTACTAAATTAACTAGAATGTGTTACTAGTTGTTTGTTATAAAACTGAATTACAGAAGGAACAACAAACAGGAAACATGACACCACGCTAAAGCATTCAAACGTTTCTAAAATTTATCATTACAAAAAATTATTTCAACATTTTTAATAGCAGAACTGATGGATCTACCTTAGATTGCTTCAACAGATTAAGTTACTCGCAACCGATGTAAAAAAGCACTTAGCAGTTTTTGTCCATAAACTTTGTATAATTGTGTGTTCTTACTAGCTTTTCTACTCATTATCTAGTAACAACATATCTATAAATAATAATCCTTGTGAAATGACACTAGGATAGGTGCTAAGGAGGCTGGATGGTACAGACGTGTTCTAACAGAATCTGTGTTATAAAGGGACTAAGGAAAGGGTCAGGAACACTAAATGGTTCCAGTTAGAAGAATGGAGGATGATCCAGGAACATCAGAGTTTGTGATGAGGAGTAAATAAACTGAGCGGTGAACAGGTGAGTGGGACGTCTCGTAGTCACGTCCTTATTTCTCACATGCCTTGAAAAAGTGACTATGAGTAACACTGTTAATTTTAATGCCATTTTTCCCATCAGAAGTAACAGATCCTAATATCTCCCATCACCCTCCTCCTGCTCAGACCTATCACTACTCTATTTAGGGAACCAACAGACAGGAATCCTTCACAAATGAGCTAAATGTTTGCAGAGAAGCAGCAGACTTATCTCCTTAAGCCCTGCGTTAATTTAGTGTCCATAAAATGTGCAGAAAGCGGACAAAAACAGAGCAAACAGAAGTGACATGAGGGACGGAGTTGAATGAGACCAGAGTAGACAGCATGATGCTGATGAAGGCAAGGAGAGGGGAGACAAACTTCCACTTCCTCTCTGCTAGCTGTCGTTCATACAAACACAGAGCTTCAGTACAAACAGCAGGGATGGCAGTGTGGTAAGGAATCATGGGTAAGAGATGGGTAAGGCCCTGTTGCCATGCAGCAGCAAGGCCATTCAGAGCCACGGTTGCGACGGTAACTACAGTCAGCATCTTTAACATCATAATATTGCAACAGTACCGAGGTTAGAGAAACATGCAGCACCTTTTTGGGCTTTAGTCCTCGCTGCGTGGGGAAAGACAGGAGGGGAGGAAAAGGAGGGAGGTTAAAGGTCAAGAGAGGGCCAGGAGCATGCTGGAAGGGTCAGGAGCTGAGGGTCAGGTATAGGTGATCTCCAAACCGCCATCACACCAATGTTTACTCACTGTAGCTTGTTTGTTAGCTGCTAAAGAAAGAAATGCTAAATGTGTGTGTGTGTGTGTGTGTGTGTGTGTGTGTGTGTGTGTGTGTGTGTGTGTGTGTGTGTGTGTGTGTGTGTGTGTGTGTGTGTGTGTGTGTGTGCAAGAAATGCTAAATGTGTGTGTGTGTGTGTGTGTGTGTGTGTGTGTGTGTGTGCAAGAAATGCTAAATGTGTGTGTGTGTGTGTTGTGTGTGTGTGTGTGTGTGTGTGTGTGTGTGTGTGTGTGTGTGTGAATGCGTGCGTGCGTGCGTGTGTGTGTGCGTGCGCGTGTGTGCATGTGAGTGTGTTTGTCATTTTGTTTAGGTTTTTCATTCAGCACATAATATAATATATAATAAATATATATAATACAAAACAATTCATGTTTGTATCTCAAACCTAACAGATAAAAAATGGAAATGAAAAAATTGGAAGAAAATCAACACAGAAGAAAAATAACAAAGATGTTAAAATAATGAAAAATGTAAATCATTAGTTTTCGTTAGCAAGATTAATTAGAACATCTAATCATTTTAGAATGTTTTTAATTATCATTTATTTTGTTTTCTCACTCGTAATCCTATTTTACTACAGAGAGGCAAGCTTACTATGCCCCCTGCTGGACATCAAGTTATGCTCTGGATGTTTAAAGTTTATTTCAGCTTCCTGAAGGCAAACATCTTAATTATGTAGACAAGTTGTTTTTATTAAGTGGGTAGGGTTTATTTTACAGTCAGACTCTCCCACAGGGGTCTCCTTGTCTTTTGTCTTGTTTGTATTTTTATTCATGTGCCATTTATATAAAACCGTAGAGCTGCTACCTATGCAAAATGAAATTAGAATGAAATGTTCTAGTGTGATAATTTTATTGTTAAAACAATGTGATATCACTTTCTTACAATTTACATATTTATGACATTTGTACAACATTATTATATTGTACGAACAATATACGGTAGTATAATTTCACACAACATTATTTTGCGTAGGTGGCAGCTTTATGGTTCTGTAAGTTTCAACCCTTGTGTTTGGAAAAATTTCAGTATTAACAATTGATACTTTATTGATCCCTTGGGGAAAAATTTCTCTGCATTTTATCAGCATGTGTGTTTCTGACCACAAGTTTTAAGACGGAAGAAGCTTCTTGAATAAGAAGTGAAACATCTTCCAGAGAACCACTAAAGTCCAGCTGTTACAACCCATCTAGGAGGGGCCAGACCATAAGATGAAGGCTGGTTTTCCAGTCACTACTGATACCAAACAACCAACTTTCATGTTATGGCCTGGCCTCTCCTACACAGGTTGTAAAATAAATTGGGGGCTCATCCGGGATCCCTCTCTGGCATTTCTGGTAAGTTCCCTCTGTGTGTGTGTGTGTGTGTGTGTGTGTGTGTGTGTGTGTGTGTGTGTGTGTGTGTGTGTGTGTGTGTGTGTGTGCGCGCAGACTCCAAACAAAGTTTCCACCGTGCATCATGTGACTCACCATTTTGGCTGATCTGGTCGTCTCTGGGATGTCTGAGGAGAAAATAAAAACAACAAATATCATTATGACCTCGATAACTTTTACAAGGTATAAATTCCAATTATAGATTATGGTGCAGACACGATACAGTCCACATGTTTTTGGTCTTTTCAACCATCTTGTGACCCCTTACACCTCCCTTATCATACCCATTGTAACGTCACGAAATGGCCTGATTTTGAGATCCCACAGGTCAAATGCACAGCCAGGTCAACTTACCCTGGCTATGACACTTCCTACAATCGTTTCCCCTAACAGGAGACTCGAAGTCTGCATGTAGTCCATGTAATCAGAGCCTACTTCCTCACACCAGCTGGACTGCAGAGATAATAAATGATAAACAATAAACATTTTCTCCTCCAAGGTCCCTCACAGAGAAATAAACTCCTTTATTCCCAGATGGAAGAAGAAAAGAAGATTTTATAATTAAAAATAATCATTGAATGAACTTTTGTTATTGCTAATTAAAAATAATGAAATGTTTCATCGATTTGTGTTTAATGACATATGATTAGTATGTTTACTTGATGAGGTCATAACATTTGCACTCACAAGTAAAGTTAAGTTAATGCATGACACATAAGTTAACCTTTTGCCCACATTCGGAGTCTCCATCGAAGAGGGTGTGTTCTGAGATGCTTGGTAACATCTTCAACGTGTCAACTTCTGGTTGGCTATTCAAGATAACATCAATCCGTTAAAACTAGTTTTACTCTGGTTTTCCCTCAGTTCAACTTCAGACAAAACAGCTCGAGAGTTTGAGAGCAAGCTTTAGACTGGCCATCTTTAGCAGACCTCTTTGACCAAGGATTTTGACACGCTGTCAAAACCTTAAACCTTTTTCGCACCTGCGAAGCTGAGAACAACAAGATAGTTTTCCTGCAGAACAAAGCTAACGCAAACTCCTTCAGTTATTTTTAAGACGCTTGGTTTCATCCATCTGTCGTGACCCAAGAGACATCTCCGGACTGAAAGAAATTGGCACCTCGGTCCTCTACAGCCCTACGGTGCCAGCGGTCATCCGACCTCTCACTTTCGGATCCACCAAGAGGGTCTCTTAATCCGGGTAAAGTAGACTCACAGATAAAGTCTGAATGTAGTTCTGATAATAACAGCTCTATAGCCTATCTGCAAACCAAATTCTTTTATATCCAGAACTCAGCTCTGAGAACGGAGATTCTGAATACACCATATTCACATTGGTTCCAGACACCACACTTAGTTCGCATCCACTCACAGTAAATAATAGTTTAAACAATTTGTCAAGTCTTAATTGGTTGTAAAATAAATTCTTATTTTGTTTATAAACCTGACTGTTTCTTGAATCATTACAAAGTGTGTACAATCCCTTAATGAATAACAGAATCTTAGAATCTTCTGACTAAAACAATAAGACCAAGCAGGTGATATCAGAATCAGAATCAGAATCAGAATGAATTTTATTGCCAGCACTCAGATCAGATCAGAGCATAGGAACTTGACTCCATAGTATAACCTGACCAAGGTTACACACACACATATAGACAGGACAGATACAGGCAGACCACGGGAGCAGCCATGACGGCGCTCCTTTGTAGATGAATGAGGGAATACATGAGGAAAGTTCAGGGGAGGGAGAAAAAAGGCATTAACAGGGTTACACCAGCAGGGTGTAGCACTCTAATGCAAAAAACACCCGACATGTAAGCACAAACGTCACAGTTCACAACATGAGACCTGGTAGGTGGGGGTGGGGGTGGGGGGGGGTGGGGGGTCTGGGATCCTGGTTTCCTCAGCGGGGGCTACCTGTGGTGCTCAACCAGCTGGCTCCGCAGGTGGGAGGGAGGTCATGGGGAAGCACAGAGAGCAGTGAGTCCTTTAGCTTAATGACCTCGGTAGAGACCACAATCTGAAGGCGGGGGGGTGGGTGGGGGGGGTGTGGATAGAGTTTCACAGCATTTGTCTGAATTCCTTCCATCGTGGGGGTTTTTGCACGCAACTCCAAGGCTGCTTACGGCGTCAGATTCGATAACAGAACTTTGTTTGGGTCAGGCAGAGATAATTTTTCCTCTCTGCCTTAAAGTCTGTATTGATTATTCAAGTCCTCCAGTGAAGCCATTTAGGTGATTAAACATCTCCACACCGTCCGGTGACCCTTTCCGAGATGTTATCAATCCTGCGCGCTAACACCGGTAACGCAGCTAAGACATTGTCCAGCTTGCGATTCACCTCAAGCAACTTCCCAGTCTGTGAGGTATCCACACGGACGGTGCCGTCCATGGATGCGGGTCGCCCTCCAATCGCTCCCGTCATCCCAATTTTACGGAAAGCCAGATATCCTCCCACTCCAATCAGAAGAAATCCGACGATCATCAGGCCAAATATCCACATATCTTCGACGTCCTCAATGGACAGCTGAGAGAGACAGATGATATTCCACTTATTCCAAAAAATCGAACATATATCCCGCTGCATGTGTCCCTTGAGGGCAAGCGCGAGCCCCCTCCTCCGTCCTCATTGTAGAAAAAATCTTATCAATCGCGTTGAATGTCCAATTAATTAAGTCCATGTTGAAAAATAGTGATTGCAGAGGAAATGCAGAGAAGCGCTCTGTAGGCAGACGGGACAAAAAGAGCCTTGGGAAAATACAGATAAGGGAGGAAAGGCAGAAGCGACTGCTCCCTGTGAGTGCCGGAAGAAGAAGAATAGTGTGTTGTATAATAGGATAATATTCTAGTTAAATAAGAGTATCCCCACTTATTGGTCACAAGTAGTGGTAATATTATAAATAGATTTTCAAGCTATTTACTTAAAGCAATTTACCCTCTATTATCATTACACCATGTTCTCTGTGAAGTGAGGTCTTTTAAGGCCTAGAAGATAAAATGGCAACATACTGCCATTTTATCTTCATTCACTCAAACTCATGTGAATCTGATCAAATCTGGGGGCTTTAAACCCAGTTTGAGCTTGAGTCAGACTGATGGTAAATGGTAAATGGCTTTTATTTGATATAGCACCTTCTAGAGTCCTGGAACACCCCAAGGCGCTTTACAACGCAATCAGTCATTCATCCATTCACACACACATTCACACACTGGTGGGGATGAGCTGCGAAGTAGCCACAGCTGCCCTGGGGCACACTGACAGAGGCGAGGCTGCCGAGCGCCACCGGTCCCTCCGACCACCACCAGCAGGCAACGTGGGTTAAGTGTCTTGCCCAAGGACACAACGACAGCGACAGACTGAGAGGGGCTCGAACCTGCAACCTTCCGATTACGGGGCGAGCACTTAACTCCTGTGCCACCGTCGCCCACAAGACTGATGTTTGATTGTTTCATCTGCAGAATACATAAAAGGGCATGCTCATAATGAAAACACTGGTCTCACTAGAAAAAGTTAAGATGTATTTCGGCACACCCTCTTTTTCAAAGCTTTATAAAGACAGAAGATAAAACTTTGATGAGGTGTTGGAACATGCAGGTCCTAGAATCATTCATTCACTGATATTTATTTCCACCTCTCACAGATTACAGAAAAAAGAAATAGTGTGTTGAATAATAGGATAATGCAAGGTGCATGTGTGTGTGTGTGACCTCGTTTGGGGACCTTCCCAGTGGTGGCTTCGGGTGTTTCTGGAGACGTGTCGGCTCCATCATCAACCAGGTGGATCTGAGACATGAAGGAGATGATCAGACATGCACACAAAAATCTTCTACCTCTAGATATTCCTGATTAAATATCAAATTTACAAAATTATAAAATAATAATCATCTTCATCCCAGAGAAGTATAAGAATGCCTTTTGGGCCAGAAGTGGCCTCAAAAACTCCACCCTCTACTTCCTGGTTCTCCCACAAGAAAACAAGTTCATTTCTGGAAGTCATCACCTTCTAAATTCTACTTTCATTAGAAACATTTAGCATTGTTTTGTTGAGTATTTACACTTCATCTACTTTTAACATGAGTGGAGAAATGCCAGCACCGCCCTCAGTAATCTTACTGATCTTCACAAGGCCATCTCAGAAACAAAGACCAGATGGGTCGAGGCATAGCCAGACCGCACACTGCACCTGGACTTTAGGGTGAGACCATCTAGAAGCAGATGTCTGTAGCAGAGATAAACTGTTTGTGCCGGCAGTGATTGGACTTTTAAATGACCTGTTGTGATTTGATGAAAGGTACACCATGAACACTAAAACCAGTCCTGTGCTTTATGAGTTAGCAAGCAGACAGATAAATTTCACACACACCCTTAGACTACCAGAGGAGTAACATCATTAATTGAGCATGGTAGCTCATCCTGACTCCTGAAGGAAAGTTTATCCCCTCTGAAAAGGGTAACTATTCATGACTCAGCAAGAACAGTTAGCCTCTGTAGCTGCAGGTAAGCACGCTGTGTAGTGCTTCAAATTAAGTCTGGTCTCTGTGCGCTCTGTGATTCGTTTAACACGTGGCTGACATTTCCCTCCTGTTATTAAAATCACAACTTCACGTTTAGTAGGGGTGTGTGATGGAAACGGTCTGGCAATACGATATACTGTAAAGTATATCACAATACCGGGGGGACGATACGATATACATACCACAACACCAGGGGAGGATACCAGATACAGGTCCTTCTCAAAAAATTAGCATATTGTGATAGAGTTCATTATTTTCTGTAATGTACTGATAAACATTAGACTTTCATATAGTATATTAGATTCATTGCACACAACTGAAGTAGTTCAAGCCTTCTATTGTTTCTAATATTGATGATTTTGGCATACACAGGGTATCTGCAGGTTTAAGGGAGCCAAATTTAAGACTTTTTAATACCTTTTTTAAGGCCACTTTGACCAAATTTAAGCCATTTTTAAAAATAAATTTAAGCTATAATTTCCAGCTATTGCCTGGAACCGGTGCTAACCACGTCGCGAACCATTAAACTTGCCCTCCCCATGGCGCAAGCTCCGACTAGCTTAACCAGCTAATGTGCTCATCTAAAAATAGCCCCCTTTCACAACCAACTGAATGTGTACGGTTCCGCTTACGCCAATATCATACACAAAAAACGCTGAACACTAACTAGAAATTCACGAAAATTTTATAGAAATAAAAGAATCTTGTTTATTGGGTCTTTGGTAATTTAAGACATTTGGAAACTGTATTTAAGGATTATTTGTCATTTTTAAGGCCTTAAATTTGGAAAAGCCAATTTAAGACTTTTTAAGATTTTTTAAGGACCCGCGGATACCCTGCATACAGCTCACGAAAACCCGAAATTCCTATCTCAAAAAATTAGAATATCATGAAAAGGTTCTCTAAATGAGCTATTAACCTAATCATCTGAATCAACTAATTAACTCTAAACACCTGCAAAAGATTCCTGAGGCTTTCAAAAACTCCCAGCCTGGTTCATTACTCAAAACCGCAATCATGGGTAAGACAGCCGATCTGACTGCTGTCCAGAAGGCCATCATTGACACCCTCAAGCAAGAGGGTAAGACACAGAAATAAATTTCTGAATGGATAGGCTGTTCCCAGAGTACTGTTTCAAGGCACCTCAGTGGGAAGTCTGTGGGAAGGAAAAAGTGTGGCAGAAAACGCTGCACAACGAGAAGAGGTGACCGGACCCTGAAGAAGATTGTGGAGAAGGACCGATTCAAGACCTTGGGGGACCTGCGGAAGCAGTGGACTGAGTCTGGAGTAGAAACATCCAGAGCCACCGTGTACAGGAAATGGGCTACAGCTGCTGCATTCTCCAGGTCAAGCCACTTTTAAACCAGAAATAGCGGCAGAAGCGCCTGACCTGGGCTACAGAGAAGCAGCACTGGACTGTTGCTCAGTGGTCCAAAGTACTTTTTTTTGGATGAAAGCAAATTTTGCACGTCATTCGGAAATCAAGGTGCCAGAGTCTGGAGGAAGACTGGGCAGAGGGAAATGCCAAAATGCCTGAAGTCCATTGTCAAGTACCCACAGTCAGTGATGTCTGGGGTGCCATGTCAGCTGCTGGTGTTGGTCCACTGTGTTTTATCAGGGTAGGGTCAATGCAGCTAGCTATCAGGAGATTTTGGAGCACTTCATGCTTCCATCTGCTGAAATGCTTTATGGAGATGAAGATTTCATTTTTCAGCATGACTTGGCACCTGCACACAGTGCCAAAACCACTGGTAAATGGTTTACTGACCATGGTGTTAGTGTGCTCAATTGACCTGCCAACTCTCCTGACCTGAACCCCGTAGAGAAACTGTGGGATATTGTGAAGAGAAAGTTGAGAGACACAATACCCAACACTCTGGATGAGCTTAAGGCCGCTATCGAAGCATCCTGGGCCTCCATAACACCTCAGCAGTGCCACAGGCTGATTGCCTCCATGCCATGCCGCATTGAAGCAGTCATTTCTGCAAAAGGATTCCCGACCAAGTATTGAGTGCATAACTGAACATAATCATTTGAAGGTTGACTGTTTTTGTATTAAAACACTTTTCTTTTATTGGTCGGATGAAATATGCAAATTTTTAGAGATAGGAATTTTGGGTTTTCATGAGCTGTATGCCAAAATCATCAATATTAGAAACAATAAAAGGCTTGAACTACTTCAGTTGTGTGTAATGAATCTAATATATATGAAAGTCTAATGTTTATCAGTACATTACAGACAATAATTAACAAACATGATACAATACAATATATATCACATTACTGGGGGGATGACACGATATATATACCACAATACCGTGGGAACAATACAATATATTTCACAGTACTGGGGGGACAATACTATATATCACAATACCAGGGGGACAATATCATATATATCACATTACTGGGGGGGGGGGGGGGGGGGGGGGACAATACCATATATGTCACAAATCAGGGGGGATGATACGATAAATATTAGGGATGTCCCGATACAACTTTTTCACTTCCGATATGATACCAATATTGCAGCCTTCAGTATTGACCGATACCAATATCAATCTGATACAATATCAGCACAAATCATACATACTTTTACCTATTTTGTAGTGTGGAATGTATGAAAGGCTTGATCAAGTGATTTTACTCAACTAGAGAACAAGAGCCAATAACAGTAAGTGTTTAAAAAAAAATTTTTTTAACCATTGGTTGCAAAAATTTTAACCTTAATGGACTGCGTATATCAGGGATTTTTTATGCCGTCCGATATAATCTGAATACACTGTTTTTGGGTCAATATCAAATTACTTTAGATATTGTTGGAACGGGACATCCCTACTTTATATCACATTACTGGGGGTACGATACGGTATATTGCGATACTAAAAGCCAGACAATATTTGCCATACATAAAACTGAATTTAATTGAAAACTCAAGCCAGATAATTCCTAGACACATCCAGTGTTATCGCCAGATTTTGTTCCGTCAGAATGAAGGCGGTAAAAATTGCTGCCACCTAGAATTCTGAGTTGGAACTTAACCCAAAATTCAAAAAAACAATAAAAAAATCCATACACTGCTGCTGTATTTGAGTGTTTTGACATTTTCTTACATCCCTAATATTTAGGTACAAACTGAGTCCAAAGACAATAAAAGTGAGTAAATTAAGACAGAATTTAAAAATACTCAGACTTCAAGAGTTTTTTTTATATCTCTTTAGACACACACACACACACACACACACACACACACACACACACACACACACACACACACACACACACACACACACACACACACACACACACACATAGACTACAACAAATGTTATATCCTGCCCAAAGGCACTAGGACATGCGAAACACCCTGGAGCAGAAAAAAATCATAAGCATCCTCTAGAAAGAAAGCAGAGGAAAATATCATCCTGACAGAAAGACACTGCTGCAAACAATAAGACACCAACCATAATGTCTAGCATAAAGGGACGCTCTGGGGTCCAACCTCTGGACTCTTTACTGGTGCATTCCCAGTTCAGTTATGTTGAACAGAACATGATCCTACCTGTGACTGCCTCACAAAAATGCCCTGATTCTCTTCACAGGTGAAGTAGCGCTTGCCCTGCACGGTGCCATCGTTCTTCCCTTTGGGCTCGTCCAGGATGATTCCCACCCACTTCCCAGAAGCAAAAAGCGTGTTGCCGACGTAGGCCACGGTGCCGCGCTGACCCTTCCCTATCACCTCCACTAGGGAGCCCACTTTGGCAGGCCGCCCGCCCCCATCAGAGCTCATCCTGCTGCTGGTGGTCTGAAAGGGAGAAGAACAGAAGAAAAACTGTAATTAAAGCCCAACTAAAGAGTGAGGCAAAAACTTGAGCAACTTCATATTGGCCAGCAGTGGCGGTTTTACCATTAGGCATAGGTCGGCGGCCACCTGGGGCCCCCTTGTGTTGGGGGGCCCCCTAGCCCCGACCGCCGGCACCCCTCTGTTAATGCCACAATATTAACCTGTTGCCGCTGACGGGATTGGACATGCACAATTCTCATTGCCATAATTCCTGAACCGTTCAAGATATCATTAAAATTCCAAAAATGCTGAAAAGATTAAAAACGGGGCTTGTCATGCATATACAATACATTATGGTAGCCCCCAGGATTCCCTGTCTTGAGCGCAACGAATCACAACACAGATTCAGAGACGTGCTGAGTTTGTCATCCAAAATGCTCCGTTTTATAACTTTTGAATGGCTGATCAGATAGAAAAAATTCCAACGGTTCCTAAAAGTACATAAAAGCAGCTTTCCAACAATCTATAGTATGAAGCAATCAGAGTTATGGAAAATATCGCTACGAGGGGAAATCCTGTTGTACAGCCTGATTGAAACGGAGCACAGCGAAGCGCCGTGCCGCGGTGAAAGCGGATAACGGAATGGGGAAGCTAATTAGCATAAAAAGCCGGCATGAAATTATGGAAATGCCTCAAAGAAAATCAACACAATCTATTAGGTGTCCCAGATGGCTTATATCTGAAGACAGTGACCACAAAAGAAGGACAGATCTCCAGTGAACCAGGGTATAAATGTTTGTTCAGTCTTTATTTTTTATTTTTTTTATTTGAACAACCCTCAACTATTTACTAACTGTAAGATTCAGCTTCATTCCAGCATTATTTATCTTTTGACAATAAATAATTATTTTTGCTAAAACAAAAGTTTTTGGTATAGAGATAAGCACCCCATGGCAGTGTGAGGTGTGCAGGACTCTGCCTGCAGCTGGACAGAAACTGCTTCAAGGCCTACCACATCAAATAAAAACGTCCAAAAGTTTACAAAAATAAATGGTCTTAAAAACTGCTAAAAAAGATACCAAGGTTCTAACTTTTTAAAGAAAAGATGCATTACAGTTCAAAGTTTCAATTGTTTGCCCAGTAATTTTGAAGTTCCTGTTCAGTAATAAATGTAAAAAATTCAAATCCGTTTTTTGCTTTTTTCACTTTTGAGCTGATTTTTTAAAGGCTGTAATAGAAATAAATTCTAAATACAAACCATACACTAAAAGCTGAGGTTGTTCTGAAAAAAGGAGAAGAGTTACACACACTGCGCACTTTTTATTATAATTTTACAGCCATAAGATTTAAAAATCCTGTTATAATTATGGTCATAAGAGGGTTATTAAGACGGCGATGCACAAACAGGAAGTGATTGGTAGTCATTCCACTCCAATCCAGTTGGTGGCGGTAATGCACCAAATTGTTGTTTGCCAAGTGCCATAAGACCACAAATAAGAAGAAGAGAAAGCAGAAAAAGAAGAGAGGTGGGAGCGTTCGTAACAAACTCAAAGCGATAGTCAAAACATTAAGCATGAAATGGAGTTATCCTAGTGGCTCCAATAAGAGAAAGAAGCAGCTTGCTTCATAAAAGCTTTTATTTTCACTTCTGAAAGTGACGTCGTTTTTCGATGTAAACATCAAAATGAAGCAGAAAGGAAAGACAATGGAAAATGTGTAAAGGGAGGAAAACATAGACCAAAATGGAAAATAGAAAAAAAAACAATGGCAAAAGCACAGGAGTATTGACAGGAAAAAGAAAGCTGAGCGAATATTGAAAGAGCTCAAAGGGAGGGAAATACAGGAAAAAAGAGGAGGACTAATAAAAAGGGAAAATAATGTCAGAATAAATGTCAGAAGAGGAGGGTTTCGCAAATCTAGTTAAAGGTAAGATTGTCAAAAATTTAGTGTAAGGATCCCCATGTCTGTGTTCGCCTTGGGCCCCCAAATTGCTAAATCCGCCGCTGTTGGACAGCACTCTGTAGCCTTCTGCTGGCCAGAAACAGAACTGTGCAGTTTTGTGGTTTGGGTAGGAACAGTAGTGGGATGCCTAGCTGTTTTACGGCAATAGCTGTTTACTGTGTCAGTAGCTAATATAAAGGCTAGCAGTAAGCTTTATCAGTTCACTGACCATCAACAAAAAACAGAATTTTGCTTGTTTCGTTGACATCATGGCAGAGCATGGAAGTAAAAGTTGGACAAAAATGTTGTAGGAGGCGAAACAAAGAGCTAAAACCAGAATGAACTTCAGCACAGCCTAGACTCATTTGAGGGAACTAAAAGGAGGCTATGAAATCACAGACAGACCTGAATTTGTGTCTACTGGACTTAAAAGTAATAGTATTTTTGCCCAACAGTGTGGATGTTTCACTTTGTGGCTGATTTAGTATCAGTTGGCTTGTGTTAGCATTAGCTTGTTGTTAGCACTAGCTTCAGCAGGCTGCTACAGGGCTGTTTACAGCCACTAAGACTGTGAAGCAAAAAACATCTTTAATGTTGCTTTAAAAGAGGCGTTTGGGATTTTCTTAATCATAAATAATAAATAATAATAATGCATTGAACTTATATCGCGCTTTTTAGGACACAGACACTGTCACACACTCTCACATTCACACACTGCCAGTGATGGTAGAGCTGCCAACTCACGCACTGAGTGTGAGGCACACGCTCTCACACCACAACTCCAATCTCTCACGCTAACCAGCGCCTGCGCTCCCCAAACGCGCATCAGACAGTGTGTAGGGCTTACGAAAAACAGATTATATTAATTATAGCATTAGCTACTGAACAACAAGCACACAAACAACACTTAAGTGATAATTTAACTGGCGTTATTTCACACACAGAATCCCAGCTGTATAATCCAAGCCAATGTGCTTTTTTTCCGCTCTGGTTGTGAGATGGGCGGAGTGTTGAGCTCCACCCGCTGTTGATGGGACGGGCCAGGTTCTCCCAGAACCGTGAGCTGCAGCTGCACGCGCCGCCATAATGACATGAGACATCAGAAATGCAGCCACGTCGCCAGCTGGTGTTGACAGAGCTTCAGTCCCGAATGTTCTCTCTCTTAACATTCGTTTCGATGTCTCACTAAGGGATACGCCCCTCCGCGGATTCCTCAGAAGCACTTATCTCAATACGCCAATCCTGATTGGCCAGTGACCATGACATAGGCGTCCCCTGCTACTATAAGTAGCAAGCGTCCCAACTCACGCACCATTCAATCACCTCTTCTCGCTTCGGTGGTTGCTTATCTCTCAGGTAAGTTAGCTCAACTATTCATAGATGGAGCCAGCTAATATTCTCTCTCCGTCGCCGAACGTTAACTTACTGTCCTTCTGTCCTGACCTTCACCATAGGCTTGGGGCATAGCAAGCAGTTTCACACTCCAGTGCACCTGTTCATTCTCTGGCTAACACACCAGTTAGTCCACATGGAAGCCGCTCCTCCCACCAGAGGAGTTGACGGCGCAGGAGCTCGCCTCTGTACCTGTGGGAACAAAATCTCGAGCAAAGACCCGCACAAGGTCTGCTCGGGCTGGAACACGCCCAGCTGGCATTGGAAGTCCCCGGGTCATGTGAGAGCTGTGCTTGCTTTACCCTGAAGAGCCTTCGCCGGCGGCTAGCGTGCCAAGCTAGCCTGTCGGGGAAGGACCCATGCCTGCCGGCCCCTGGGCCACCGCCTGGGGACGCCAGCGAACATGCCCTCCTGGAGCCGGAACCGTGTGCCGAACACAGCTGGGGCTCACAGCTCGAACTGGCCGGTCCGAGCTACCCCGCCAAGGACGTGTTGGAGTTGGATTACGGAGACGATGAGAACTCCTCATTTCAGAGTAGGAAGAGGATGACGATGTTTTTCTCCCCCTCGCTCAAGCCTCCATGCCTAGCTTTCCGTCCTCTCCCAGGGATGGAGCAGTTTCTCTGGCCGCCCACCTGGACATGCAGTCAGTCTGTCGACGCGCTGCGACCAGGCTCAACATCCCTTGGCCCACCGTGGTCACTGAAGCTGTCAGGTCCCGCTACGAGGGAAAGAATCTGCCTCAGGCCACAAGGGTGGCAAAGCCTCTCCTGCCCGCCTTCCCGGAGCTCCTCCAAGAAGTGAGATCATCCTGGGACAAACACCCTTTCAGCTCCAGGTCTCCTGTCCAAGGAGCCTCCTCGCTGGACTTCAAGGGTATGGATAAGGCTGGCATGCTTTGCATGCCGCCGATGGAACCACTGGTTGCAGCCCACCTGCACCCACGGCTCTCGGCAACTTCCTCCAGCCCTCCCGCTCTCCCTGCAAAGGCGGACGCTTCTAGTCGGCGCTGAATGAGAGGGCGTACAAGGCTGCCGCCATCTCGGTTCAAGCTTTGAATGTCTCCTCCATGCTCTCAGCGTACCAAGCCGAGCTCTGTGAGGACATGAATACGAAACCGGACCCGGAGGTGTGGGAGGAAATCACCGTACTGACCGACATCTGCCTGCGGGTGCAGCGCTGCGCAGTCCAGGCCACGGCTAAAGCTATGGGCATGATGGTGCTTCAGGAACGTGCACGATGGCTGAACCTCACCAACCTCTCTGATAGAGAGAAGGAGGACATTTTGGACATGCCAATTGTGCCTAAAGGCATTTTTGGCTCTTCACTGGCAACAATGCAACAACGATGTGAGGCAAAAAAGAAACAGGATGAAGCCCTTCAACTCTGCCTTCCCCGTAAGCCTTCACCTGCTCTGCCGGCTTGGCCGACTCTTCCTCAGGCAGCTGCTCGAGCCCAGCCTCAGTTCCGGATCCCAAGGCGCCCGAAGCTTCAAGCAGTCCAACCAGCTCCTTCGGGATCAGCGCCTCGACCAGTTTGGCCTCAGAGGTCCGGCAAACAAGCTGCTCCGCCACCAGGACAACCCACCCGGCCCGGCGGTCAGCAGGTGAGAAAGAAGAAAAGAGCATCCTGACGGAGTTCTTTCCCTCCCGACGCTGCAGCTGGCGGTTCCCCGTTCGACAGCTCCA